TTTCTCTGTTCGCAGCTTGCACCATCAGCCTGATTAATCAGGTCTGGTCTGGGACCTGGTCCCTGGAAAATAACCCTTCCTCGGAAATCACTACAGGTACACTACGTGTGCTTCAGAAACTTGTTAGTCAATCTCCGCTGGTTCCTTAGCCTGTTACAAAATCACTGTTGGTTTCGGAGCTTGATAGAAAATCGCTGTAGGTTCAGGAGCTTGTTACTTCTGAAAGCTGTTATAATGAATGTGGCAATGCAGTGGTAGAACGTTAACTTGGGTTTGGATAATCACAGTGTGCCGAGTTGACCTTGAACTTACTGGCGCTGTGGTTCGCCTTGTGTGAGACGCTTCGTGCGGTATATGTAATGACCTTGGTAGTAGGGGAAGGCCACACAGGTCTGTGACCTTGTTACGGGTAGGTCATAAGTAGAGGACTAACCCTGCTGGGGTGGATTTAAAGGTTAACGTGCAAGATGTGACCTTGTAGAGGATGCTTACAGATGCCTCCCTCCTTCCCTCCATCTTTCAGAGACACACATACTTCACGTTGATCCTTCTCTCTATTCATCGACAAAGGGTTATATTATTACTACACATTATTATATATTCATGGGGAAGCGCTAAGCTCGAAGGAGTCATACAGCCTCTGGGGAATACAAGGTAAACAGGTTTGATCCAAGGAAGGGGAAGGTAGGTCCACTAAGAAATACTTAAGATTTATAAAGTCTGGTGTCTAGTGTTGCCCTACTTGTTTTGGTTTCTGTATTTACATAAGAGTTTGTACTCGTGGTGTCTCTTCTCATATTAATTTATAACTTTTTTAAAATTCCCAAGGTTTAGGTATACACTATTTCGTCTACAATAAGGCCTTCTACAAGGTACAGCACAGCTGACTACCACACAGACTGGATATTCGGGTTGAGGTGTCAAGAGTACTCGGGTCAGTAAATCTTTTTAAAAGTGTCACAGCGAGAGAGGAAATGTCAAGGTGGGCCAAGGTATCTAATTTCCGGAGTCCCCATCCTGTCGGTACCTTGTGTGCAGACGATCTATCAGTGTGGAGACATTTCTACATATAAATGTTCGCGGATAAGGACAAAATAACTAAGATGGTATGTAACGAAGACGGCATGAACATAAAACTAGAAAGCTAGAGGAAATCGGACAGACTGCAGGATTGGTCGAGTAAGTGGCTAGATCAACCTCATCAAGTGAGAAGTAATGAAGTTTGACACGGGAAAAAAAAAGATGAGAGAAATACCACTTAGAAGGTAAACAGCTCCTAGAATCTGACACCTGAAGCACTGAGTCCAACAACTAAAGCGCTGAATTCACCACTTGATGCTCCGAACCCGTCTCCTGCATTCATGGAAAAAGAAAAAAAAAACATTAGCGGGTACCCCGCTGAGGCTTGCAGCCTCAGCAGTGACTCTTCAAACTGTTTTTCACTATATGTACAACTACACCTTGTCTCCACAAAATTTAGCTCAAGAAAGTTCAGTAATATTAGACTGGTACCTAAACTACGAGACAGAACTATGAAGAAAAATGGTTTGATCTGCTGTTAAAAAAATACAGGAAAAGTAAGAAAATATTCAATTTTCTTACTAAAAGATCATGTATTATAGGAAAATCTAGTCATAGCAAAGTAAAATCCTTAGTACCCAAGAACAGTCCTGGCGCCTTTACTGTTTCTCATCCTAGAAGCGAACATAGATAAAAACACTAGTCACACCTTTGTATCATCCTTTGTGGACGATACAAAAATAAGCAAGAAAGTCACTTCAGTACAAGACAATTTGCAAGCAGATATCAACCAAGTTTTCCGGTGGGCAATAGAAAATGACATGATGTTCAGTGGTGACATCTTTCAACTGTTCACAAATGGAAAGAACGAAGAATTCAGAAGGAACACTAAATACAAAACAGAGGAGGACCATCCTATAGAACAACAGGAATATGCTAAACTCTTGGGTATAATAATGTCAGATGACGTATCATTTAGAGAATACAAAAAGACAAATGCCACGAAGGCCGGAAAAAATGACAAGGTGAATAATGCGAAGTGTCTAGACAAGAGGTATAATGCCAGAGATAATACTCTTCATGTTCTTCTGTACTGAAGGCACCATTCAAGGCAGGAGAAAGATCAGGGCTGGAAAAGGCTGAAATCGTTTACTCGCATAGGGCCAATAAAGCGTGTAGGTTGAGTGAGGAAGGGATACCTGATAATATATACGTGGAAGATACCTGTGGGCCTGGTCCTAAATCCGTTACTATAACAACGTACTGGAGTGGGAGTTATGGGCGGAAGTGTAACAGATCCAGTGAAAAGCAGGGACACCATGGGCACAATAAGAGAACAGTGTGTCAACATTCGTGGTCCAAGATTCTTCAACCTCGATGATAAATTAGACACATGTGCAACTCTTGGGTATCTTTATTAAGGAAACGTTTCGTCACACAGTGGCTTCATCAGTCCATACACAGGAGAAACTTGAAGAACAGGAGGAGAATGAGGTAATCAGTCCCTCAACCTTGAGTCGATGTGGTCAGTCCATCGGTTCTGTGAACCATTCATCTACAATTCTTCAACCTCATACTAGCAGATATTAAAAATATTGTTGGAACAAGTGTGAAAGTTGGTGAAAGGAAATGATCACTGCATCCTCCAAGTGCCAAATCAACCAGGCTGTAAAGGATATGTGGGTCAACGGGCTGCCAACAGCCTGACTGAGCATTCAGTGAAGAGTAAAGAGTAGGCCCCAGGTTAGAATATAAAGAAAGGAAAGCTCGCGAAATCGGTACCAGGTATATCTACACTGACAAACTATAAAATATGGATGGAGAAATGTTAGACACTATTAACAGCACATGTTAGGCTACGCATGCAGCAGCTGTGCAGTGCACACGTCTTAAAAAATATATGAATAAGTTATGAAAGGATTAAAGAGCTACAAAATGACTAGCAAACTGGAAATATAACTTAAGATGAAATGCGGTTAAGACGAAGGATGCCCACGCTGGCTGGTAGCAGGAAAAGAGGAGACATGACATGATACCCGTAGATGAGGTTATAAGAGGAGACGGAAGAATACACAAGTTTTACCCGCAACTGGGACAACACGAGGCCACATTTTTAAATTTCAGAAAAAAAGTGGGACTGAAGGGATACAATATTTTTTGTTCACAGAGTACTAGACCCATGAAATTAATTAGAGGAGGAAGTAGTAAGTTCTACAACCATTGGAGATTAAAACAGAATGATAAAGCATAGCTCTGCTCTTGAAGGTACATATGCGTAATTACCCACGCACGCACGTATGCACGTACGCACGCATGCATACAACACATGTACACAAAAAGGAGCACAGCCAGGAGTTAAGACTACCCCTCCAACCACATATAGGTGAACTCGCTCTCTCCCTCCCTCACTCCTCGTGCGGTTGCTTTTTACGTTTTCATTGGTTAAACCAAGCATTAGTAACGGTTTAGGGAAATACCCGAATGCATCAGTGTGCGCAAAATGTATTGAAATCAACTTAATAAAAGTGAGCGTTATTTTTCTTTATAATCTTAAAAAATAATAGTTATGCCAGCTGTTTTCTAACGTCATGACGATAACGTCGCTTGTCAACTGACGTGCTGGTAGTCTCCGACATGATACCGTCATCTCTCTAAGTTAATCAGCGGTCTGCTATATATATACGCTTATTATCAATCCGATTGCACACAAATAGTTATTACTACCTTTTTTATAATCATGGTTGCCTAATTGTCTACTCACGTAAATATTTAGACAGTGTCAATCTCCTATAGTCCATTAGTTCCTCAAACCAGCACAGCAAGCAGGAACAGCTGAGAGAAAAAGTCAACCAACCTCTAGGAATACTCAAACTTATTTTTAAATTCAAGGGCAAACATAATAAATGGACAATAAAAAACCGGCCAGACGAACATCACTCAGCTGAATCCATAATAGTACCTTTTTCGTCCTTCACCCGTCCCCTCGCTTTGACAGCTAAACACTTGACGATACCCTTATTGCTCTGTGGAAGTTTCCCAGCTCAGACTGAAAAAGTTCAACACTGAAATCCACCTTGTAACTATCTTATAGAGTACGGTTGTAGCACATTGTTGATGCATCCACTTTTACTAAAAAAATAACTACAGTTTTACATAATCACGGAGAGCACACTTGCAAAAACATACCTCTGTATTATAATTATGATTATGGAGAAGCGCTAAACCAGTTATTAGTGTGGCTTGCTTACCTAACAGAATATTGAAGCTCAGCCTTGGTACCCATTATGTGCCTATGTAATCTGGTATGAGGTGCATAATAAAATTTGTCTCGTAGACATAAAATACTGCACAATTTAGTTAATATAAACCCCAACCATTTATTCAAGAGGTCAAAAACCTTAAGTTACCATGATACAGTTTACCATTCTACAGAACTGGAAACAAAATTCTTAATCTCCTCGAGAGTATAGTATAACTGACAAACAAAACAGAGAATCACTGAAGTATTGATACCAAGATACCACCACCTTTCAGTCTTAAAAATTGTAGTCACCCTTTTGTCTACTGTACTAAGAGGGCTGTATTTTGATCCGCATGACTGATGTCTCTCAGTATTCACAGCTTTGTTACTGACGGAAAGATTGCTTAGAAAAGTCTGTACGAGGCATGCCTAGCAGCAAGGTGTCTCAGGAAACCAAGGCGACATTAAAATCAAAGTTTTTCACGTTTGTGAGAATGGATTGTCACCAGCAGCTCGCACATCACAGATATACCTGAGGGTTCTGCAAGTTATCATTGTGTTAAAATATAACAAACGTATATCATAACCTGGTGTAGGCGGGAAGTTACTTTTGGCTGTTTTAAATTTTCTTATATTAACATTAAGAAATCATGATTAAATCAAAATGAAGATAGATAATAACAATTTCACGTGATTGAAAAATTATAATAGTGTTTCAATAGTTGATGAGATTGCTGACCTGTATGAAGACTGAGGTAGTAAGAGGGAAGTACGTTGTGTGAGGAGGTGCTTGAGTAACACTGACTTCGCACACCCAGAGAACCTCACCAACAAACACCTGGTCTTACTATCACCACCACCACCACCACCTCCACACCGTGCCATTGCCACCGCCCTACAAGGTCTGCTTTAGTTATCCCGAAACTGGACCCGTTTTTTATATTTATATTCGCATTTTTTTTAACTGCTGTTCCTTCCTGTCTTATACAATATATTTAGCTTTTATTTTTTAAAGCCAGGTGCCTATTTATAAATAATTATTGAGGAGTTCATATTTTATACATCGGCATAATTATATTGTACCATAATGAAAGGTGGCCTTGGTGTTTATTAGGCTCTTATCCTTCACCTTTTCACTGGGATAGAATTTCACCTGGTGAATGGTAGCAGGATGCTGGTTATTTTCTGCTATGTTATTATGCACACCTAATCATCTCTGCTACGACTGAACCCTTGGAGAGACACATTAAAACATATCCTGTGTGCAATGAATATATCTTCTTCAATTATTTTAAATTATAATTATAGCGGAATGTTTGACAATATCGTCGTCGTCTTACTCGAGTCTCCCAGCTAAGGCTTACGTATTTTATTTTATTTATGAAACTGGTCGTGTGTGATGGAATATTCTTATATTACAAAGGGCAGCAGTGAACCGATGATGTATTCAGTTTCTAAATGATTATTATTATTGTCTTAAGAGAGGCTTCTTGAGGGAAGGTAGCTTGACGTCAGTGTAGTTCTCGTGAATATAATGATACTCGAGGGGAAGCGCTAAAACCTTTGTTTTTTCATTTGTTATAATACATTTTTTTTTTTTTTTGGAGCTGTAGAAAATAAAGGGTTAGTTATATTCATAAGAAAGCACTAAACTCGAGCAGCAGAGGGTAAGAGTGTGCAGGGTGTGGGTATGTGTTACACTAGAGGGGAAGTGGATGTAATACCCTAATTTCCAAAATATCGTAGATAAGCTCTTGAATAAAGGGGAAATTTAAATTACGCTTAGATGTAGATACCTTTATTAACAACAATGTTTCTCCCGCAGTGGGATTTATTAAGTCACCGTACAAAGTTAAATGAGGAGTATAAGAGTAAATATACATTACTCCTGTTTCTTTCATCTATTTTCTACTGACTTAATAAAGCCCACTATGTTACTGTATACATCATGTTATTTATCTGTCAGACGGAGGTTGGACTATCAGCAAGAAATGGCAAGTCTCAGACAGGAACAGTGTGTCTCCATGAGATGTCCATGTGGCCCATATGCGAATTGTGTTCAGCAAGAGACTGCTGTGCTAGAATTAAATGGGAGGTGTAGCAAGTTGTGGTGTGTGAATGAAGAAATGTGTACTCATATATGTGCGTGATATGACCTATCTTTAATTACCATACTTATTTGAGCTTTGAATGATCCACACGAGTTAGCTTTTGAGGGACTATAATAATAATTGATTACTTATTTGATGTTAGGTAAAAGGACTCAAGTGCGACATTTTACTGTGGCAACGTTAGGCTCTCCGAGAGCTTTGTCAAGCCGTGGTACGGCTTGACATATTGTCGCTAATTTTACCAACATTATTGCTTATTTGAGTTTGTAATAAGGGATTCCTTCCTCTTAACATTCAACCAACTAACATAAAACAGCTGTCAACTTCTTTAATCCATGTATGGTGTTCACTTTCATTGTATCATAGTTTAATTAATTTCAAATTTTTACCACTCATATTTCAGAAATTCTTGTATATCCTGGCACATCTGAACATGTAATTTCCATCCAATACATTTTGCTGTTGTTACATCTCCAGTAAAGAGCCTGTCATTTTATATTCATGGGAAAACACTAAACTCATACGGGCCATACAATGCCTTAAGAATAGGAGGCGGTGAGGTTTGACCCAAAACATTTTTTTTATGAGAAATGCAGAATCTGTATGGGGATCATACAGTACCTAGGAAAATGGGAGATAATTAGGGTTGATCCAAGGAATAAATAGTAGTTCCAGTTTCTTGGATCGAGATTTTTGCAATTGAAAGCTTAACACATTTTCAGTTTGGCTTATGCAACCATATACAATTGAAGCAGGCTAAGAATTTATGCTTGGTTTGTTTATTGGTTTAAAAAGAACAAGTTTATGTAATAAGATAGTACCCGTGAAACAGGAATTTGTTTCTGGTCATCCAATTATAATTTCTTTGTCTTTCAGAAAATGTGTTGGTGCTGATTGACACTGCTGGCTGCGAGTGTTGGGAACTGGACACCTCAGATGACCAGAGTAAGGGAAATGTTAGTGAAGCCATCATAGTCACTTGCCAAGTGAAATCTCTTGTATCCTCAGGTGTACCTGAGAATGATATTGCTGTCATCACCCCATATAACTTACAGGTAAAATAAAAGAATGCATATTGAATTCGTGAATTTTCCAGTACATACTGTATTTTATTTCATGAAGTGCTAAACCTGTGTGGGTCATTCAGCACATGGAGTGGTGGAACGTCGATCCTCCATCCCTGATCATAGCCCCGTCTTTTGCATTTGTACTTTCTACCTTCCCATAGTAGGTCACCCAGTTTATAAATTTGTGTTGTAGATAATCTAATAACAGAGCATAATACAGGTGTGGGGCAGAAATTGACATCTCATGTATGCATGTCCTGAAGGATTAGGCAGGGAGGAAGAGGAGGAGAAGGAGAGGAGCTTACATATTATGCTCTTCTCAGGAGTGGGATAAACGAGAGAACAAGTTGTCTTTGTCAGGAGTAAGTAAACTCACTGGAAGCAACCCATCATGCTTGTAACCATGAGTACGGTATATGTACTAGAAGCCAGGAGAGTGATAGCTTTATGGGAGGCATATCTGGCATGGTTTGTGTTTGTGGCAGAATCAGAGAGTATACTACACAACTGGCCATGAGTGAAGGGGTCAGTGGTGGTTTCCTGGAGCCCTCTCCTAGGAGGATATAAGAAATTTTTGTTGCTTCCAGATAACTCTGAAAATTAAAACAGACTAAAGATGAGGGGGAAAAATCTCTGTAGGATATCATTCAAGGAGGATGCATTAATGCTGATGAACTGCTCTTGATCTTAAAAAGTAGAGCTACCCTCCCTTCCTTAGATCAGAGCTGATTACCTCCCAAGTGCTGTATGAAACTTGCAGGTTTCATACACTTCCACATGAATATTATACATACTATAATAACAATAAATTGACATCCAGAAAAAAGTTAATTATGATTGTACAAAAAAAAGCCTTATTATTTATTGCTGAGACATACCAGAAATATTCTAAAATTCAGATGAACAATAAGTTGGTCTTCTTGTAGGTGGAATTGGTACGTAGTCTTCTCCGAGATACTCACCCGGCTATTGAAGTGCGGTCAGTAGATGGCTTCCAGGGCCGTGAGAAAGAAGCAGTTGTCATTTCTCTTGTTCGTTCAAACAAACAAGGTAAGTACACTTGTTGGAATCAGAATGTTTGTGTGAGAAAGATTTTCAGCATTTATTTAGCTCTTTATGAGATCCTCTTCAAGCATCTCCTCAAACAGTCTTGATGTCAAGACCAGAATATAATCACCTCATTTTTAGCTGTAAGTGTATTTCAGAGTGGGATATTAATTGGAATATACATGCATATTTACACATACTGTTATACGTATACATACTAGACATACATATATACTCAGTACATATCCAGTATTATGCAGTGGACCCCCGCATACCGCTCGCTTTTTTCGCAAAAATTTTGCCTCGCATACCGCCCAAAAACCCGCTCACCGCTCTTCGTCCGAGACGCGTCCAATGTGCGCCCTTAGCCAGCCTCACATGTTCCGCTGGTGGCATTGTTTACCAGCCAGCCTCCGCGGTAACATCCAAGCATACAATCGGAACATTTCGTATTATTACAGTGTTTTCGGTGATTTATCTGGAAAATAAGTGACCATGGGCCCCAAGAAAGCTTCTAGTGCCAACCCTACAGGAATAAGGGTGAGAATTACTATAGAGATGAAGAAAGAGATCATTGATAAGTATGAAAGTGGAGTGCGTGTCGCCGACCTGGCCAGGTTGTACAAGAAACCCAAATCAACCATCGCTACTATTGTGGGCAACAGAAAGGCAATCAAGGAAGCTGTTCTTGCCAAAGGTTTAACTGTGTTTTCGAAACAAAGATCGCAAGTGATGGAAGATGTTGAGAGACTCTTATTGGTGTGGATAAATGAAAAACAGGTAGCAGGAGATAGCGTCTCTCAAGCGATCATAAGCGAAAAGGCTAGGAAGTTGCATGAGGATTTAATTAAAAAAATGCCTGCAACTAGTGATGATGTGAGTTAATTTAAGGCCAGCAAAGGTTGATTTGAGAGATTTAAGAAGCGTAGTGGCATACATAGTGTGATAAGGCATGGTGAGGCTGCCAGTTCGGACCACAAAGCAGCTGAAAAATATGTGCAGGAATTCAAGGAGTACATAGACAGTGAAGGACTGAAACCTGAACAAGTGTTTAATTGTGATGAAACAGGCCTGTTTTGGAAGAAAATGCCAAGCAGGACCTACATTACTGAGGCAGAAAAGGCACTCCCAGGACATAAGCCTATGAAAGACAGGCTTACTTTGTTGATGTGTTCCAATGCTACTGGTGATTGCAAAGTGAAGCCTTTATTAGTGTATCACTCTGAAACTCCCAGACCGTTCAGGCAAAAGAATGTCCTCAAGGAGAATTTGTGTGTGCTGTGGAGGGCAAACAGTAAGGCATGGGTCACTAGGGACTTTTTCTATGACTGGTTACACCATGCATTTGCCCCCAATGTGAAAGATTCCCTAACTGAAAAGAAATTAGAACTTAAGTGCCTCCTGGTGTTAGACAATGCCCCTGGTCATCCTACAGACGTGGCAGAGCAACTTTATGGGGACATGAAATTCATTAAGGTGAAGTTTTTGCCTCCTAATACCACTCCTCTCCTGCAGCCCATGGACCAGCAGGTTATTGCAAACTTCAAAAAACTGTACACAAAAGCTCTGTTTGAAAGGTGCTTTGTAGTGACCTCAGAAACTCGACTGACTCTAAGAGAGTTTTGGAGAGAGCACTTTAATATCCTCAATTGTGTAAACCTTATAGGTAAGGCTTGGGAGGGAGTGACTAAGAAGACCTTGAACTCTGCTTGGAAGAAACTGTGGCCAGAATGTGTAGACAAAAGGGATTTTGAAGGGTTTGAGGCTAACCCTGAGAGGATTATGCCAGTTGAGGAATCCATTGTGGCATTGGGAAAGTCCTTAGGGTTGGAGGTTAGTGGGGATGATGTGGAAGAGTTGGTGGAGGAGGACAATGAAGAACTAACCACTGATGAGCTGATAGATCAACTTCAACAGCAAGAGGCCAGACCTGAGGAAACTGGTTCGAAGGAGGGGAGAGAGAAATTGAAGAAATTGCCTACTACAAAGATTAAGGAAATCTGTGCAAAGTGGCTTGAAGTGCAAACCTTCATGGATGAAAATCACCCTCACACAGCTATTGCAAGCCGTGCTGGTGATTATTACACTGACAATGTTGTGAAACACTTTAGGGAAGTCATAAAGGAACGAGAGGTACAGGCCACTATGGACAGATATGTTGTGCGAAAGAAGTCCAGTGACTCTGAAGCTGGTCCTAGTGGCATTAAAAGAAGAAGGGAAGTAACCCCAGAAAAGGACTCGACACCTCAAGTCTTAATGGAAGGGGATTCCCCTTCTAAACACTAACACTCTCTCTCCCCTCCTCCCATCCCATCAATCATCACCAGATCTTCAATAAAAGTAAGTGTCATGTAAGTGTGCATGCCTTTTTCAGTTTGTGTGTATTAAAATTAACATTTCATGTGGTAAAATTTTTTTTTTTCATACTTTTGGGTGTCTTGCACGGATTAATTTGATTTCCATTATTTCTTATGGGGAAAATTCATTCGCATACCGACCATTTCGCATAACAATCAGCCCTCTTGCACGGATTAAAGTCGCTATGCGGGGGTCCACTGTACTAATATGTTAAACAGGTTTCATACAGAACATGTTATTAGCTCCTACCAACAGGTGAGTAACTCAAGTAGAATTCTTTGGTAAGCAATTTGAATTATGTATAAGCAGATCTGTTTATTGTAAATATATTATGTATTATTATTTAAGAATTTCATAGTCATTTTGCAATAAAATAAAACATACATGGTAAAGAAAGACACCTCATATTATAAGCTCAGACCTTTAATTGTAACTTAACCATATACTGTATGATGTTTTGTTTTATTTTAACATTCTCACTGGGCACATGATGGGCTTTATGTGCTGTATTGGTAAGGTACATTTTCACTACTTGTTGTGAGCAACATTAGTGGAGTTTGAAGAAGCATTTACTGAAGATTCATAAATGCTTATTTGGACATCACCTGTGTCAAGTAGCTGAAATACCTGGAGAATATTTTTTTCATGATTCCATCCTCTCCAGCTGTTTAAGCATCCAAATTTTACTTGCTGCATTTCAAAAAATTCATCTTAAGATAAAATACTTTAATAGTGTCCATTGTCACTTAATTTCAGGAACAGTGGGGTTTCTAAGTGAAGATCGGCGGCTAAATGTAGCAGTGACTCGAGCCAGACGACACTTGACTGTTGTGTGTGATTCAGATACTGTTAACAAGCATGATTTCCTTAAGGGCTTAGTGGATTATATTTCGCAGCATGGTCAAGTTAGAACTGCACTTGAATTTCAACACGGTATGTGCAAGTATTCCGTTATGAATATATTATGGAAGAATTTACTAATACAGTGGTACCTCAGGATACGAACAGCTCAAAACTCAAACAATTATGTAAGTGTATTTATGTTAATTGCTTTTGTAAGTGTATTTTTGGGGGTCTAAAACGGATTACTCTAATTTATATTATTCCTCGTGGGAACAAATTCGTTTGGTATCGGCACTCGAACAGCCTTCTGGAACAAATTAAGTTCGTATCCCAAGGTACCACTGTACGCAGTACATTACATGATTTTTTAAAAAACTTAAAACAAAAAAAAACGTAGTGTAGATTGCTGGTACTTTTTAATATTGACTTTCATTTATTTTTGATACTGTTTAAAATTATTTACAGTAATCTGACTACATTTTTGGCTGTTTTGCAAAAATAGTATTGAATATTCAACATAATGTACAATATGTACATCTCATTCTTACCATACTTTAGTGTACATGTCCAGTCACAATCTCAGTGCAGTATTGCAGGTGAAAAAAAAAGGCAATTACTGAATTTTGTATTAAACTGTCTTTGTTCATGACAGCTGCTTTTTTTGGGGGGGTCTGTTGTCCTTAATTTCTTTGTATATAAAGGTGTTCATCAGTATCATCACGGAAAATGTTCCTGCATCATTGCTGTTCGTGTTTTCTTGCCTTACAGAAAAGCTATTTAAACATTCTTTTAACATACTTGTATGACTAACCAAACTTTTCTATGTGATTTAATATTAATTGAATAAAATTATATCAGTCACACATGCACAGTACACTGCAGCATGTACATTCAATATTCAAATATATAAATTTGTTTACCAATTTATTTTTATCTCCATCTCCATAAGTGAACCAATAAAAAATCATGTTGCTAGATTTCTTCCAGTTCATAAAATGCCTTCTGTATATGTATATATAAAATACGTTTGATTCAGATCTCTTCTAATAATTCTGTAGGAAGGGTAACCTATTATCTTTAAACCATTTTAATTTTACCCAAAAAATTGCTGAAAGGTTCATTTTTTTTTTTATGATGGACTCTTCAAGGAGGTTCTTTAATGCTAGTGAAACAAGCTGGATCCAAGGAATTAGAGGTACCCCTTTTCTTGGATCAAATTTTATTACCTCCCATTGCCTAAACTCTGAATAACCTGTACAAGTTTATTGCAGCCTCATGAATGCAATAATAATAATAATATATGATAGAGATTTTCATCCTCACTGATTAAGTATGTATCTTATACGTCTAGTACTGTATATTTGAAGTTTTTTGATAAGTTGTACAGTTTATCAAAAGACTTTGAATACGTTAAGCACAAAGGTTACGTGATGGTACAGTGGAGCCCAGAGTTTCAGTCGTAATCCATTCCAGGAGCTAGGCCTAAACTTGAAATGGCCGAAAGGCGAAGCAATATTTCCCATAAGAAATAATGTAAATAAAATTAATCAGTTCCAGACCCACAAAAATATTCACAAAAAAAAATACATTTTTTAAAGAATAACTATAGTTTTACATACACACAACACATAAATGCATACATGTATATGTACTAGTACCGTCCTGCCAGGTGAGTGTGAAACGAAAGCCTGTAATTATTTTACATGATGGTAGGATTGCTGGTGTCCATTTTTCTGTCTCATGAACATGCAAGGTTTCAGGTACGTTTTGCTACTTCTACTTACGCTTAGGTCACACTACACATACATGTACAAGCATACATACATACCCCTCTGGGTTTTCTTTTATTTTCTTTCTAGTTCTTGTTCTTGTTTATTTCCTCATATCTTCATGGGGAAGTAGAACAGAATTCTTCCTCCGTAAGCCATTCGTGTCGTAAGAGGCAACTAAAATACCGGGAGCAAGGGGCTAGTAACCCCTTCTCCTGTACATACTACTAAATGTAAAAGGAGAAACTTTCATTTTTCCTTTTGGGCCACCCCGCCTCGGTGGGATACGGCCGGGTTGTATACAATAAAAAAATTAAAATGTAAATAAACATTTAAAATAACATTTACTTACCTTTATTGAAGAGACTTGCTGGCATCTGGAAGATGCACGTACCCCTTTAAATTCATGCACAAATTTTTCAGCTGCCTGGCTGGCTGGTTGCCTGGCTGGATACCTGGCTAGCTGGCTGGATGCCTGACTGGCTGGTTACCTGGGTGGCTGGCTGCCTGGTTGCTTGCTTGGCTGGCTGACTGGCTGGCTGGATGCCTGGCTGGATGCCTGGCTGGTTGCTTGGCTGGCTGGCAGGATGAGTGTGCAGGGTAATGTTCACTCAAGGATAAACAATATTAGATTGGCTCACAATGCCTGCGCGGGGAGGCGCGCAAGAACAGGCAGGCAGATAGGTCTGGTACGCCGGCCAAAACTCGGGGCAATGGCTGAAACTCGGAACAAAATTTGGCCGAAAAGAGCGGTCGAAACTCAAAGCAGCCAATACTCAGGGCGGCTGAAACTCGGGGTTCCACTGTATAATTATACAAGAATTCATAATTTTTTTTTATTTTTTTTTAGAATTGGAGACAACTGAAGTGAATACACCAGAGTGCATTGTATGGAATGAAAAACCCCAAAAGAAAGAGAAGCTTAAGCAACTTGATCCCAAACCTAAGAGAGATAAAATCAAAGAATGTGCAAAACGTGAACTGCCAAGTGAGGAAGAGAATATTAAACGGAGAAAAGAATATGAAGCTCTTATTAATACTTTTCTTAAATCTTCTGACCACATTTACAAATTTCCTCCCACTGTAAACTCTTTTGAAAGGCGATTGATTCACGAAATCTGTGAAAATCTTCACCTGCACCATGAAAGCCAGGGTGAGGGCAAAGAGCGACACATTGTTATATGGAAAAGCAATGAGATGCCAGAAAGCAATCAACAAAATGATACAGTCAAGAACAAGGCAGAAACTAGTAATCAAAAGAAGGAATATAAGGATATCATCAATGGCTTTCTCAAGTCTTCCAAAGAAAATTTTGAATTTTCATGTGATTTAAATTCTTTTGAGAGGAATTTGATTCATGAAATATGTGATGAGTATGACCTCCATCATGAGAGCCAGGGTGAGGGTAAGAAGCGGCATATTATTGTTCATAAGAAAAATGGAACAGTAAAACAACGTGCCAATAAAGAAGAGTGTAAAGAAATGCCCACAGAGATTAAAGAAAAGGATAAAACACAACTCTTAGTACTTCAGGCTGAAGAACCATGCCAAGACAGCAGTGCTAAGAATGGTGCTATACCAAAATGTAAATTACCAGAAAGCAGCTGTACAAAGGTTCGTACAAGATATGTTGGAGGGAAGTATGAAGAGGTAGTCGTTCCAGTGGAAAAAGTTCGTACACGATATATTGGAGGAAAGTATGAAGAAGTAGCTGTTCCAGTGGATGATAAAAGTAGTTCTAGTGGCTGTAAGACAACAAGAGAACATGAAGTGAGGAATGTGAGTGATACCTTGACCAGACATTGCTGTAGCTGTGGCAAGGACATTATTAAACAAAACTATCTCATTCATAGTGCACAGTGTGGGAAGAAAATGAAAGGAGAGACAGTTCAGAAGGTAAGTTATGCATCAATTTGTAATTCTTACATATTTTCTTATCCAGCATGCTATAACTACAGTATAGTGTTATGCATGTGTGTTTGTGGATATGTGTAACACTCTCTGAGATTACTGTTATTATTAATAGGTCTGCCAGGAAAGTGTAGCTATTTTTACTGACCTGAATAATGACACAGTACAGTATTAGTTCATCCATGGATTCTTGTTAATTAGCTATGACTTTAAATATGATTGTTCAATTTTATTTAATTGTTCTTTCATGGCTCCAAAGAAATATACATGTCTTTACTTGGACTGAACCTGATTGTTTCCCATTCACCATATGCTCTACAATCTCTATGGGCTAATGCTTCCTCTGATTATATTATGGTAATAATAAAGTTCGTGCACAGGTAATAGGTTAACCTATTGACTAAATAAGTTAAAAAAAAACTGTTTTGGCGTAACTTTTTTGCTTGAATTTTTTTAGTAAATATATTGGTACTTTTTGAATTTACATAAAATTATTTTACAGGCTAAACAAAAGATCACACAAAAGAATAATTCCAAAAAAGGAAGCAACCTTAAAAGTTATGATGAGGCAGAGGATTTTGACAGCTTGATTGAACAGTTTACAAAGGTAAGTTTAAGTTTTTATCAGTATTAAACAAGGAAACACACAAAAGCAAGTGTATATATAAATAATGGAATGGTTGCATAAAGGTCATGGTTGTATATCTAGTATTTTACAATTGTTTGTTACCTAGGATGACATCCAACTGAAGTTGGCATACCCCAGCTTGACCTGGCGTGTGCCAACTTCAGGGTAGAAGGTTTGGGTTGCCTTCTGTAACCCATTAGGAAATGTGGGTGTACACCTCAGGATAGGAATAATAAAGGGTGTTTTTCCCATTGTAATTGGCTGCTGGTGTGAGCCCAGACAACTAGGTGCCACTAGTGTAGGATTTCCATGCAAGATATTAGTTCCACCCATCAGAGGGGTCACCTAGGTCATTGTCTCTTGGCTATCTGGGCTGTGGCATATTCAGGAATGTGTTCTATGCATCTTCATAGGCAACAATTATATATGGCTCTAGTGCAGAAAGCTTCCTGGGGTATAGGTATCCTACCCCCCTACACAACTTTGTTCCAAATTAGTACATTTTTTACCCCCATGGTGCTTCCAAATGAAAATAGCTTTACTGAAAATGTTTCCTCTTTCTAGTACTAGCCTTGGGGCTATCTGTGGAATTCTTTAATGTTTTTACAATGGGCAGAGGCAAATCTGTAGAAAAAAAGCACAATGCAGTACACAGCAGAGCATCTGAAATTCCTTCATAAGCAAAGCAATATCTGAGTTGCCACCACTGCAAACCTGCAATAAAAATAAAAATCTGAATTACTTCGTGATTTCTTTTTGCTCATTTTTTAAGTGGAATAATATAGAAGCCATTTTTGGAGGGATTTCTAGATTTGAAGTTTATTTTAACATTACTCTCATAACACACCATCTATACCGTGTCTCCTTACTTAGCGACGTACTCTTTTACTGACGACTTGGACTTACAATCGGCTCTCTGACCAATATGCATACCGAAATAACATATATTAGAGCTGATTTTCTCTATTCTTTTTATTACAGTATACAATACATTACTGTATAAACATTTAAAACTTTACCAGAAATGTTATAAATGATGCAAAGGTGACATTAAACCAATATCAAAGATAGTTGACACAAACCTACTACCATTATAGCATGCTCCTCACCGAGTGACGAATTCGTTTATCGACGTGGTCTTAGGAATGGAAATCTGTCGTTAAGTGAGGAGAGGCTGTACTTTTATCATTTATCTAAATTTACTGCAAAATTTTAATGAACTAAGTATTTTCTTCATACACTGCTGTACTATATTAATCTCAGGAAAACAACACTTGTTCCATGCCACAATGTAAATCCCCCACAACTGTGATATTCCAGCTGTGTTCTTTTTGCCGCAATACCTTTTGTCTGGCGCATCACATGGCTGAAGTACATGGGTGTGGTGACCAGGCTCGCCAGCATGCTAGAATGGTAAGTTTAGTATTAAAATGAAGACATGCGCTTTTTTTATTGTGAATTAATGCATAAAACACAAATACATTGTATTTCTTAATGGCAGCATTAAGAAAGTTAATGTAAGACAATGACTATTTCACTGCTAATGCATATTGTTACTTTTGACATTTCATGCTGAAAGTGGTCCACTTATGACTGCTCAAAGTTTAGGTTTACATGCCTCTTCCACAGAGATGATGTGTAAAGAAAAAATTAACATTTTTTTCTTTGTGGAGTGGTAGGACAGTGAACTGAAATGCACATATTAGTAAGTTCTAGAACCACTGGACATTTAAAGAATTATTAGATAAATTAACCTCTGAAGGTAAGATAATACTGGTATAGTTCTTCTTTTGTAGTTATCCTGTAATTAGGTTCTCTTCCAAAACACACACTACCACTCTGAGCTGTCACCTCTTATCTCATTCAGTGAGATCTTTTACACAAATCTATCATGACCCTTCAGTGGAGGTGCCTTTATGCCAGTGAAGGGCTCTTGAACCAAAGAATTGGATTATCCTCCATTTCCTTGGATTGAATCTAATTACCTCAAACTGCCCTAGGTGCTGTATGACTAATGGGTTTAGCATTTCCAACTAAATACAGTTGACCCCCGCCTTACGATCAGCTCCCAATGCGACCAATTATGTAAGTGTATTTATTGGCAGTTTGGAGGGATATGTTGTGTATCTTTATACGTATATGCTTCTAAACTGTTGTATTCTGAGCACCTCTGCAAAAGCAGTGATAATGTGTGAGTGTGGTGAAAGTGTTGAATGATGATGAAAGTATTTTCTTTTTGGGGATTTTCTTTCTTTTTTGGGTCACCCTGCCTCGGTGGGAGACGACCGACTTGTTGAAAAAAAAAAAAAAAAATTATGTAAGTGCATTTGTATGTGTATTTTCGGAGGTCTGAAACGGACTAATCGAATTCACAGTATTTCTTATGGGAACAAATTCGTTCAGTAACGGCACTTGAACATACCTCTGGAATGAAATAATATCGTAAGGTGGGGGTCCACTGTATACTGTAATAATAATTCTGCAAATTCCCTGTTGTTCATGTAGATGCTTACCTATCTACATTATTACATTCTAATCTTCAGAATACACAGGGCTTCCCCTGACCTTGGCTGTCTTTATTTATTTATTTATTTATTTCTAACTTTTTTTTTTTTTTTTTTTTTTTTTTTTTTTACAATGTGAGTGGTCTAGTAGTAGGCCAAAATTGTCCAGTTTTTATTTACAGTTTGACCTTTTTTTAATCTATTCTTTATAAATCTGCAGGATTTCAGTTATATTTATTAAGTACATTTCCAGAGGTTGTAGTATGCACCACCACCTCTTGGAGTTCATTCTAGACATGTACCACTCTTTATAAAGAATTTGCATTTTTTCCATTTGTTTTATATAGTAATCAGAATCTATAACTATTCTTTTTTTGTCTTGCAGATGATAACTAAAGAGGGAGTCTTGTATCCTGGCAGTGGTATACCATCCAAGAAACCTGGTGAAGCTCAACGAAAGCAAATGCATAGAAAGTTAGAGAAGAAAATGGAAGAGTTCTCCAAACAAAGACAGGCTAAAAAGCCTTCAAAAAATGCAAAAAAAGAATGAAAATGACATCTCTATTCAAAATATTTATATTAATTTATTATATTGTTACATTTAGTCACAAGGATGATGGGGTATTTTTTTTCATTTAGAAGTGCTACAGTCATTGGTGGGTCATACAGCATCTGGTAAATAAAAGTTAATCATGTTTGGTGAGAAGGGGATGGAAACATAGCTCAAATTCTTTTGAATCAAGACACTCCTCCCATTTAAGAGAACTGCAGAGCTGGGTTGTGTTTTGAGTGACTGATAAGTATTGTTAAGGCTTTTGATATTCTATTTTTTACTAACTTTGGGATAGAATGCATTGGTCCCAAAAGTTTTTTTTTTTTTTTTTTCCAACAAGTCGGCCGTCTCCCACCGAGGCAGGGTGACCCAAAAAAAAGAAAGAAAATCCCCAAAAAGAAAATACTTTCATCATCATTCAACACTTTCACCACACTCGCACATTATCACTGTTTTTGCAGAGGTGCTCAGAATACAACAGTTTAGAAGCATACACAACATATCCCTCCAAACTGCCAATATCCCAAACCCCTCCTTTAAAGTGCAGGCATTGTACTTCCCATTTCCAGGACTCAAGTTGTTTTTATTACTTTATATTACATGTATTTTTTGCAAAACAACCATGGGGGGAGTAGAGTGATAGTTCTAGGCTTTTTGTGTTGCAATCAACGTATCAGGAGCTTGCAGTGTTGCAGAAAAGAGGAGATCCAAGCAAACACTGATCGTATTTGCTTGGACCTCTTTTCTGCAACATTGCAAGCTCCTGATGTGTTGATTGCAACATGAAAGGCCTAGAGGTATCATTCTACTTCCCCTGTAGTTATTTTGCATCTCGTATCGCTTGTTAGCGATTTTTGCATAATGTATTTTTTTTATTGAATACTTATAAAATATAGGAAGTTTTCATCACTGACAAGAAATAGTGTTGTGAATGAATATAATTTAAATCCTTTGCATCAAATGTATATGAAAAAAGTTAACTGTCACATTTACTTTGTTTTCATTTTCTATTAATGTATGACTAATAGATGAACAGTTTTCATGTACAGTAATTGGTTTTCTGTCGATTTTCAGCAATATGCATAAATTTACCCAAATGAATTTTAATACTGCTGTATAGTTTGATATTCTTTAGGATAAAAGTTTCTCATCATATCAAGTATATATTTTGTTATTCTTGTATGTTGATTCTAGATCATGAAGTACTTAAAATGACACCCTATCAGTCTGTAAATATCAATAATGTAGCACAGTCCTATTGAGCACGAGACCAAATCACGTCATTAGAGAGCTGGTTGCGAGAGTAGTTTTGCTTGTTCACCGCATCCAAGTGTAGCCAACTGATAAACTATTTAACTATTCACCATAAATATCAATAATGTACCACAGCCCTATTGAGAACAAGACCAAATCAAGTCATTAGAGAGCTGGCTGTGTGACTAGTTTTGCTTGTTCACTGCATCATGGTGTAGCCAACTGATAAGCTATTCACTTCTGAAGTTAGCAAGCTGTTGTCTACTTATACAATGCCTCATTTTGCACATAGATCACAGCAGCTTATGACATTTTATTGAGAAAGTTTTGTCCACCTGGGACTTATCAGTTCTCAGAGGCAAGTAATGTGTGTATGTATATATGAGAAGGCATGATGTTAGATGAATAGCTAGGTGGATGATATCTATTTTTTTTTCCAAAATCAAGAATGAACTTGATTACTATGTAATAATCTTAGTAATGACAGATTTCAAGTACAACCTATTATGCCTTTGATAACTATTTTGGCATCGGTTAAGTTCATCAGATGATTTTCAGGGTTGGGGTGAATAGTATTGTTCACATAATCCTTGTGGCAGATGTTTGTCTCTTTGGTGATTGTGTTCAGGTCTCTGGAGGTTTCACCCACATAAAACTTGTCACAACCTCCACCTAATATCATTTAGTTGCTGGCACTCTAGTTGTGATAAGTTTTACTTTGGTGAAACCTCCAAGGACCTGAACACAAGGATCAATGCACACAAAAATGCTTGCCAGAGGAATGGCATGAATGCTTGTATTTTCCACTACAAGACAAAACCATTTGCTGAAGTTCCTCAAAACCAGACTAGTTATTGATAAATTAGACACATGTGCAACTCTTGGGTATCTTTATTGAGGAAACGTTTTGCCAAACAGTGGCTTCATCAGTCAATGACTGATGAAGCCACTGTGTGGCGAAACGTTTCCTCAATAAAGATACCCAAGAGTTGCATACGTGTCTAATTTATCAACATGTCGGTTCTCTGAACCATTCATCTGCAGACTAGTTATTAAAAGTGCAGACAGGCATAAGAAGTTGTGCTTGGACTTTGCACTGATAATTGTCACTTCTAAGACCATCAGATAGAAATCAGGACCATTCTTAATTTCAGAAACAGTTACCAAACTTTTTCTCACCAGACATGATGCTGTTGTTAGATATATAACCATATGGAGGAGCATTGCACTAGGCCTACTCCCCCATTTAATTTTAAAGCATTTCATGGTTCCACTTCTCTGAGTTACATTACAACAAGTGATGTTACCCACTTTGCTCTACCTCTCACTTCACATCTCCACTATGTATATACAGTGGACCCCCGCTTAACGATCACCTCCCAATGCGACCAATTATGTAAGTGTATTTATGTAAGTGCGTTTGTACGTGTATGTTTGGGGGTCTGAAATGGACTAATATACTTGACAATATTCCTTATGGGAACAGATTCAGTCAGTACTGGCACCTGAATATACTTCTGGAATGAAAAAAATATCGTTAACCGGGGGTCCACTGTATATGTTCTTTTGCTTCTCTCTTCAAGAACTGATTAAAGTCCCTGGTGGGCAAAACATTTTCTCAGTAAAATGCCAAAAATTGCATGCGTCTTAGTAGTAACCTAATGAAGTACAGTACAAGTATTCATCAGTATGGACATTAATAACAAAAGTTAACAGCTCATTAGCTTCTGTCAAAATTTGTAATCTAAGCATTCATGAATACTTGTTTAGTAATGCTATGTAAATAGGACACACTATAAGGTTCATGGCATTTGAGGAAATGTTTCATCCATCAGTGACTTCATCAGTTCTCCAAGAGTAAACAACATATTACAGAGAAGATGTAAGGAAATGTAGAGCTGGGCAAGTGATGTCAATCACATTACAAAAAGTAACAAGTGGCAATAAGAGCAGATTCCAAGCAAGGCCTATTATGCTTATCTACTTCTTTGATAACTCGTTTGGTATCGAAGTTCATCAGATGTTTTCCCTATTGTGATTAATAGTAAAAGCATATATGTGTTCAGTTATCCTCATATTTAGGTGCCTGAAGATTTCACCCACATGAAATTTATCACAACCATCACATGGTATAATGTAGATGCCAACACTGGTGGTTGTGATATGTCTTACATAGGTGAAACCTCCAAGGAACTGAACACGAGGATCAATGAACAGAGAATGCCTGCCAGAGGGATGACATGAATGATGCTTTTACTATTTGCTTCAACACAAAAACCATCTGATGAACCTCCCCAATGCCAAACTAGTTATCAAAGAAGCAGACAGGCATAATAGGCTGTGCTTGGAATCTGCAATGAATGTCACTACTAATGCTATCAAAGACAAGGCATATGATGATATTGACTGAATCTACAGAACTTGTGTATAAGATTTAAACACTTCTTATGCTAACTTTATATATAACACAGAATTCTAAATACTACTGACTTCACTTACCTTAACATAATTAAGCAGACAGTAACTTCACTGTTAATTAAAAAGCTTACCTTTCATTTTTTCTAATGTTGTTTGTGTGTATATTATATATACTGTGTACTGTAATTTGCCTAATATAAACTCAAAATCTCAAACATTTGTTTATTTCATTTTCCCTTGGTTTGTGTGTACAGTATATATATGTATTTGGCCTATAATTAGCATTGGTTTGAAATGGGGTAAAGCAGCTGGGATTGATGGAATATTATCATTATAATCAAAAAGAAGCGCTAAGCCACAAGGGCTATACAGCTGGGATTGATGGAATCGAGTCAGAAATGTTAAAAGCAAGTGGAGTTTTGGAGTGGTTCATGCATTTGTTCAATAAATGTATGAAAGCAGAGAAGGTAGCCAGGGATTAGCAGAGAGCATGCATAGTTCCTTTGTATAAAGTAATATGGGATAAAAGAGTGTAAGAATTATAGGGAATAATCCTGTCGTGTATGTGAGGTAAGTGTATGGTACTGTAGTTACTACTAAAATAAGGTTAAAAAAGAGCAAGATCACAGATGATCAAGGTAATTTCAGGAAGGGGTATATGTGTAGACCAAGTGTTTACATTGAAACATACAAGTGAACAGTATTTAGATAGAGGTAAGGAAGTTTTCATTGCATTTGTGGATTTAGAAAAGGCATACGATAAACCACAGTACGGGTGGGGAGTGAACTCACAGCAAGTGATTTGTAAAATTCCAGATCAGTGCATAAGCCACTGGTCCAGCTGGATACAATTAGATTAGTCCAACTAAGTATATTTATACACCATGGGGAGATTAGCATTTGCCCCACTCTAACCACAACTGCAAGTTTTTACAGATGAATCTCCCACCAGCATGGCTGTGACAAACTCTAGGTCAAGTCCCCTCCAAGCCGTCATCATGACTCACGAAATCGTAATGACATAAATGCAAACAAATCACAGTATGGGTGAGGGTTGAACTCGCGGCAAGCGAGTCATAAAACTGTCGTCATTACGATTTCATGAGGCATATGATAGAGTAGGTAGGGAAGCAATGTGGCATATGTTGCAAGTGTAAGAAATAGGTGGTAGGTTACTTAAAGCAGTTAGTTTTATAAGAACAGTGAGACTCAGGGTATGTTGGGGAGAGGGAAATTATTTTCCAGTAAAAGTAGGCCCAAGACTGGGATATGCGATGTCACCATGGCTGCTTAACACTAATAATATTCCGGTAATTAATTTTTATAGTGGGCCAGAAGAAGATAAATTATGTAACATCACAGTCACTAGTGAAATGGTTGTGAAGCAGATAGACCGACTGAAGCAAAATAAGTCACCGGGTCCTGATGAGGTTTTTTCAAGGGTTCTAAAGGAATGCAAAATGGAAGTCTGTGAACCATTAACTAATATTTTTAATTTATCTCTTCAAACAGGTGTAGTGTCTGATATGTGGAAGATGGCTAATGTAATTCCTATTTTTAAAACAGGGGACAAGTCGTTACTGTCAAATTACCGCCCAATAAGCCTGACCTCAATTGTAGGCAAATTACTAGAGTCAATTATAGCTGAGATTATAAGAAGCCATCTCGATAAGCATAGCTTGATTAATGATACTCAGCATGGATTCACAAGAGGCCGGTCTTGTCTAACTAATTTATTAACTTTCTTCAGTAAGCTTTTGAGGCTGTTGACCACAATAAAGAATTTGATATTGTTTACTTAGATTTTAGTAAGGCATTTGATAGAGTTCCGCACCAAAGACTGTTGAAGAAAGTAGCAGCTCATGGCATTGGGGAAAGGGTGCTCTCGTGGATCGAATCATGGCTCACAGACAGGAAGCAGAGAGTGTCCATAAATGGGGTTAAATCCAAGTGGGGATCAGTAACAAGTGGCGTTCCACAGGGATCAGTCTTGGGCCCGTTGTTGTTTATAATATATATCAATGATCTTGATGAAGGAATTACTAGTGATATGAGCAAATTCGCCGATGACACGAAGATAGGTAGGATAATTGATTCAAACGTAGATGTTAGGGAACTTCAGGAGGATTTAGACAAACTCTACTCTTGGTCAGAAAAGTGGCAGATGCAGTTCAATGTAGATAAATGCAAGGTTCTGAAGCTCGGGAGTGTCCATAACCCTAGCACTTATAAGTTAAATAATGTAGAAGTTAGCCATACAGATTGCAAAAAGGACTTGGGGGTTATGGTAAGCAGCAACCTTAAACCAAGACAGCAATGCCTAAGCGTACGTAATAAGGCAAATAGATTACTGGGATTTATATCAAGAAGTGTAAGCAACAGAAGTCCAGAGGTCATACTGCAGCTTTATACATCATTAGTAAGGCCTCATCTAGATTATGCAGCTCAATTCTGGTCTCCATATTACAGAATGGACATAAATTCGTTAGAAAACATTCAGCGTAGGATGACTAAATTAATACATAGCATTAGAAATCTTCCTTATGAAGAAAGATTGAAGACTCTTAAGTTACATTCACTTGTTAGACGAAGAATGAGGGGAGACCTGATCGAAGTGTATAAGTGGAAGATAGGTATTAATAAAGGAGATATTAACAAGGTCTTGAGGATATCTCTCCAAGAGAGAACCCGCAGTAATGGATTTAAATTAGATAAGTTTAGATTTAGAAAGGACATAGGAAAGTATTGGTTTGGAAATAGGGTAGTTGATGAGTGGAACAGTCTACCTAGTTGGGTTATTGTGGCTAGGACTTTGGGTAGTTTCAAATTTAGGTTGGATAAGTACATGAGTGGGAGGGGTTGGATTTGAGAGGGACTTGCACATCGGAGCTTGTTTCTTGGGTGGCATTGAAAATTGGGTTGGTCAAATGTTTGTTAGTGGGATGAATTGTAAAGGACCTGCCTAGTATGGGCCAACAGGCCTGCTGCAGTGTTCCTCCTTTCTTATGTTCTTATTTATTGATGGGGTTGTAAAAGTGAATGCCAGGGTGTCAGAAAAAGTATACCTGGAGAGTTTCAGGGATCAACTCCCCCATGGTCTGGTCTGTGACCGGGCATCGTAGTGGATCAAGCCTGAGGATAACCCAAAAATTCAGATAGTGACATTTCCACTGGAGTCCTTAATAAAGAATCTAATACAGTATAGAGTGGGAGTTGTCCCCAGTTACTTTTTGCTGATGATACAGCACTTTTGGGAGATTCTGTATAGTTTATATAACTGTATTTAGGTGTACCTGTACCTGAATAAACTTACTAACCTAGTTAAACATGCTGCATAATGAAACCAATGCGATGAAACTAGGTAGGCAATATCCATAGAATTTTCACTAACCTAGAGAGAAAAACTTATTTTTATGAAGCTCAGGGTAAGGTGGTGTGAGGAAACAAGCCCAATGTTTCCACTCGTTTGTGGATCGAGTTACAGTCCTTCACTGTGTGAACTGAAGCCTCTACCAACTGAGCCACGAGCATCTACCATTTTTTTTATAAAACTAACAGATTTGCACCTACACAAGGTAACACTGTAGTGAGCCTCCCTAAGATGCATCGTTATTTCATGTTTGATCCCGCTTAAAAAAAATTGATTTTATCAATTTAAATGCAGAAAAAAACATTTAAAAAAATACTGGCATGCACGAAGTCATGCCAGCAATCACTCGGGGCAAAGTGGTTTCAAGGATCCCAATTGGATTATTATAATCAAGGGGAAGCGCTAAACCCATAGGTCCCCAATTGGAAATAGTATGTCTCTCTGACTTTCTTGGGTTATCCTAGGTGATCTACACATATGCTGCTATGTATGAAAATTTATTTAACTGTATTTATGTGTACCTGTTCCTAAATAAACTTATTTGCTTTCTGTGTAAAGTTAGTTTAATATGTTTATTATGCACACCATACCCATCCTGTGGGCGGTAGTCAAAATATTACAGAGGTACATAATGGGTCCAGGACCTGTGCCCCAAAGTTTTGATAGCTGAGCAAGTTACAAAGGTAATGAACTCCAGGTAAATCTGGTCACAATCATGACAAGTTACAAAAGTATTACAGAAAGTACACAGGTTTTGAAAGTTTAAAGCAGAACAGAAGAGGTGTTTTCAAATTATCACAGAAACTTGACAGAAACATAATTTTGACAATCAATATAAGTATCCTCTTAGGGGTTACCTTATTAATCTTAAATTACCTAAAATATATATATATTTTCTCACCCCAACAGAAATAAGCCACTGACTTTTTTGGGTTATCCTGCTATGTATGATATGCTGCTATATATGATAATCTATGTAACTGTATCTGTGTATACCTGAATAAACTTACACTAGTATGTTATTGCTAATTATTATTTCTTACTCATCCTGAATGGGTACGTTTACAATATTCAAGAAATGCTCCATAATTTTTAAAGGGGTAGACCGGTAAGCCATCGGAAGACCTCGGTCAGATGACCAAAAGCTCCAAAGGCGGGTCATCAACTGCCTAAGACCCGCGTCAGGAAACACTTGTCCTGTTTCCCGACGAACATTACCTAACCTAATAAATCCTTCCGGATTTAGCATTTCTTAAATACTATAAACGTGAACTGGAGGAAGAATACATCGAATTCAGTGAACCAAAAACCCCTTACAGGCATTAGAATACCTCCCTTGAAAGGCATTATGAAAATCTTCTAAACAATACAACACTACCACGGCCTTGTGGCGCAACGGATAACGCGTCTGACTACGGATCAGAAGATTCCAGGTTCGAATCCTGGCAAGGTCGGCTCATGTTTTTAATTTTCTGTATTCAGCTACATTAATTAAATATTCGTCTTACTAATGTTCATAGTTTCTACAGCAGTTACAATGGATATATATTACTTTTATGGAGAATAGATGGCAATCAGGTTCAGAGTAAGGAAGGAGAGGGATTAATTCAACTCCTTGAATCAAGAGCCCATCACCAGCATCAAAGAACCTTCCTTAGTAAGTTTATTCAGGCAAACACAAATACAGTTATATAGAATTATCATACATAGCAGCATATGTGTAGAGAACCTGGGATAACCCAAAAAAAGTCAGTGACTTATTTCCACTGGGGTCCTTGAGGAGATGAGGATTAATATGTCCGTCTAGTTTATGTGTACTTGTACCTAAATAAACTTACTTGAACTATTAGGGGGATTCAGTCACAAAATTAATGCACGAAAACAATTGCACTAATAGCATTATTACTGAATATCATTGGAAAGCAAATACAGTTTCGCTGCTAATATAAATATCTGCTTATTTCCTTATTAGTTATGCGAAACAAAAAATGGGTCTAATAGAAGTAAATCTTTACAGTTTGCAACGTAACTATACTATATTCATGGCAAAACGTTATGTCAGTGACTTTTTTGGGTTATCCCATATAATTTAAACTATGTATGATAACTGTACTTGTGTACCTGTACCAAAACAAACTTAACAATTTTGCATTTCAGTGTCAACACTTTAAAGTCTCTCAAACAATGACAACCTAGCCTATTGTTAGTCATAATTATCTATCTAGCTAAATATCAAGTTATATAGCTTTCAACTCAACTACTTTGGCTGAATTGTTCAGTCTAATAAAATTATTATTATAATAAAAAAGAAGCGCTAAGCCACAAGGTCAGTCTTAACAAAAGTGCGTTAAAACTTTGGAGCCCAGTCCCTAGACCCATTATGTACTCATCTTTTTAACTACCGCCACAGGATGGGTATGAGGTGCATAATACATGTATATTAAACTAACCCCCCCCCCCTCTTCTCCCTTGCTCCCAGGCCCTTGTACATGTTTCTGCGCTCCCATACTTATGATCAATTAAAAACTCACCTACAGTGTGGTGATGATTTTGCTGTGCTGATGGTGACAGGAGCCATGACTGGGCGGAGGGAGCCATGACTGTGCGGAGGGAGCCATGACTGTGGGCGGAGGGAGCCATGACTGTGGGCGGAGGGAGCCATGAGTGTGGTTGGAGGGAGCCATGACTGTTTGCGGAGGGAGCCATGACTGTGGGCGGAGGGAGCCATGACTGGGCGGAGGGAGCCATGACTGGGCGGAGGGAGCCATGACTGGGCGGAGGGAGCCATGACTGGGTGAAGGGAGCCGTGACCGTGGGTGGAGGGAGCCATGACTGGGCGGAGGGAGCCATGACTGGGTGAAGGGAGCCGTGACCGTGGGTGGAGGGAGCCATGACTGGGTGGGAGGAGCTACTTGACAACACAACCAGCTCAACAACAAAAGTAACACTGACTGTTGAAGTCTTGAATGGGGGGGGGGTGCACTGTTGGTAAAAGCCTCTTGATCCAAGAAATTGGAGCTACCCTTCTCTTTCTCGAATCAGATCCTATTGCCTCCCATTCCCCAGACATTATATGGCCTCACTACGGGTTTCACGCTTCCCCATCAATATAATTGGGCTTAAAGCTGATCAACTACCCGAGGGTCATTAAGGCAGTGCTTCTCCTGCAACACTACCAGCAAGGTTACTTTAACATTTAAGATACAGATTAAATTAAGCTCTCGTAATAGATACGTTGAGAGGTACTTGAGTTATTTATCCTGACCTGTACCAGGTTAGAAATCCTGATAGATTTTTAAAGCTTGTTTCCTGTTTCATTTTAGCAAAGAAAGTAATGATAAACGAGTCTAAGTAATTTTAGTATTAATAAAATAATAATAAATAATTTAATAATAATACATCATTATTATTTTACTATTCAACTTATTATTTTTTCAACAAGTCGGCCGTCTCCCACCGAGGCAGGGTGACCCAAAAAAAGAAAGAAAATCCCCAAAAAGAAAATACTTTCATCATTCAACACTTTCACCACACTCACACATTATCACTCCTTTTGCAGAGGTGCTCAGAATACAACAGCTTAGAAGCATATACGCATGAAGATACACAACACATCCCTCCAAACTGCCAATATCCCAAACCCCTCCTTTAAAGTGCAGGCATTGTACTTCCCATTTCCAGGACTCAAGTCCGATTATATGAACATAACCGGTTTCCCTGAATCCCTTCACTAATTATTACCCTGCTCACACTCCAACAGATCGTCAGGTCCCAAGTATCATTCGCCTCCATTCACTCCTAACATGCTCATGCACACTTGCTGGAAATCCAAGCCCCTAGCCCACAAAACCTCCTTTACCCCCTCTTTCCAACCCTTTCGAGGACGACCCCTACCCCTCTTTCCTTCCCCTATAGATTTATATGCTTTCCATGTCATTCTACTTTGATCCATTCTCTCTAAATGACCAAACCACCTCAACAACCCCTCTTCTGCCCTCTGACTAATGCTTTTATTAACTCCACACCTCCTAATTTCCACACTCTGAATTTTCTGCATAATATTTACACCACACATTGCCCTTAGACAGGACATCTCCACTGCCTCCAACCGTCTCCTCGCTGCTGCATTTACCACCCAAGCTTCACATCCATATAAGAGTGTTGGTACTACTATACTTTCATACATTTCCTTCTTTGCCTCCATAGATAACATTTTTTGACTCCACATATACCTCAACACACCACTCACCTTTTTTCCCTCATCAATTCTATGATTAACCTCATCCTTCATAAATCCATCTGCCGACACGTCAACTCCCAAGTATCTGAAAACATTCACTTCTTCCATACTCCTCCTCCCCAATTTGATATCCATTTTTTCTTTATCTAAATCATTTGATACCCTCATCACCTTACTCTTTTCTATGTTCACTTTCAACTTTCTACCTTTACACACATTCTCAAACTCATCCACTAACCTTTGCAATTTTTCTTTAGAATCTCCCATAAGCACAGTATCATCAGCAAAAAGTAACTGTCAATTCCCATTTTGAATTTGATTCCCCATAATTTAATCCCACCCCTCTCCCAAACACCCTAGCATTTAAATTCTTTTACAACCCCATCTATAAATATATTAAACAACCATGGTGACATTACACATCCCTGTCTAAGACCTACTTTTACCGGGATGTATTCTCCCTCTCTTCTACACACCCTAACCTGAGCCTCACTATCCTCATAAAAGCTCTTTACAGCATTTAGTAACTTACCACCTATTCCATATACTTGCAACATCTGCCACATTGCTCCTCTATCCACTCTATCATATGCCTTTTCTAAATCCATAAATGCAATAAAAACTTCCCTACCTTTATCTATATACTGTTCACATACGTATATGCTTCAATGTAAACACTTGATCTACACATCCCCTACCCACTCTGAAGCCTCCCTGCTCATCCGCAATCCTACATTCTGTCTTACCTCTAATTCTTTCAATTATAACCCTACCGTATACTTTTCCTGGTATACTCAGTAAACTTATTCCTCTATAATTTTTACAATCTCTTGTGTCCCCTTTCCCTTTATATAAAGGGACTATACATGCTCTCTGCCAATCCCTAGGTACCTTCCCCTCTTTCATACATTTATTAAAAAAAAGTACCAACCACTCCAACACTATATCCCCCCCTGCTTTTAACATTTCTGTCATGATTCCGTCAGTTCCAGCTGCTTTACCCCCTTTCATTCTACGTAATGCCTCACGTACCTCCACCACACTTACATTCTGCTCTTCTTCACTCCTAAAAGATGGTATACCTCCCTGGCCAGTGCATGAAATTACCGCCTCCCTTTCTTCCTCAACATTTAAAAGTTCCTCAAAATATTCTCTCCATCTACCTAATACCTCCCTCTCCCCATCTACTAACTCCCCTACTCTGTTTTTAACTGACAAATCCATACTTTCCCTAGGCTTTCTTAACTTGTTTAACTCACTCCAAATTTTTTCTTATTTTCATTAAAATTTCTTGACAGTGCCTCTCCCACTCTTTCATCTGCTCTCCTTTTGCACTCTCTCACCACTCTCTTCACCTTTCTTTTACTCTCCATATACTCTGCTCTTCTTATAACACTTCTGCTTTGTAAAAGCCTCTCGTAAGCTACCTTTTTCTCTTTTATCACACCCTTTACTTCATCATTCCACCAATCACTCCTCTTTCCTCCTGCCTCCACCCTCCTATAACCATAAACTTCTGCCCCACATTCTAATACTGCATTTTTAAAAACTATTCCAACCCTCTTCAACTCCCCCACTACTCATCTTTGCACTAGCCCACCTTTCTGCCAATAGTCGCTTATATCTCGCCCGAACTTCCTCCTTCCTTAGTTTATACACTTTCACCTCCCTCTTACTTGTTGTTGCCACCTTCCTCTTTTCCCATCTACCTCTTACTCTAACTGTAGCTACAACTAAATAATGATCCGATATATCAGTTGCCCTCTATAAAAAATGTACATCCTGGAGCCTACCCATCTACCTTTTATCCACCAATACATAATCTAACAAACTACTTTCATTACGTGCTACATCATACCTTGTATATTTATTTATCTTCTTTTTCATAAAATATGTATTACTTATTACCAAATTTCTTTCTACACATAGCTCAATTAAAGGCTCCCCATTTACATTTACCCTGGCATCCCAAATTTACCTACTACTCCCTCTATAACATTTTTACCCACTTTAGCATTGAAATCCCCAACCACCATTACTCTCACACTTGATTCAAAAACTCCCCACGCATTCACTCAACATTTCCAGAATCTCTCTCTCTCCTCTACACTTCTCTCTTCTCCAGGTGCATATACGCTTACTATAACCCACTTTTCACATCCAATCTTTATTTTACTCCACATAATCCTTGAATTTATACATTTGTAGTCCCTCTTTTCCTGCCATAGCTTATCCTTCAACATTATTGCTACTCCTTCTTTAGCTCTAACTCTATTTGAAACCCCTGACCTAATCCCATTTATTCCTCTCCATTGAAACTCTCCCACCCCCTTCAGCTTTGTTTCACTTAAAGCCAGGACATCCAGCTTCTTCTCATTCATAACATCCACAATCATCTCTTTCTTATCATTTGCACAACACCCAGGGAGGTACTACCGTCCTGCCAAGTGGGTGTAAAACGAAAGCCTGTAATTGTTTTACATGATGGTAGGATTGCTGGTGTCTTTTGTCTGTCTCATAAATATGCAAGATTACAGGCATATCTTGCTACTTCTACTTACACTTAGGTCACACTACACATACATGTACACGTTTATTTATACACACTCATCTGAGTTTTCTTTGATTTTATCTTAATAGTTCTTGGTCTTATTATTTTTCCTTTTATATCCATGGGGAAGTGGAATAAGAATCTTTCCTCCGTAAGCCATGCGTGTTGTAAAAGTCAACTAAAATGCCGGGAACAATGGGCTAGTAACCCCTTTTCCTGTAAAGATTACTAAAAAGAATAAGAAGAAGAAAATTGTCAAAGTGGGATGTCTGAATGTCTTGGGTGGCATTGAAAATTGGGTTGGGCAAATGTTTTGTTAGTGGGATGAATTGTAAAGGACCTGCCTAGTATGGGCCAGCAGGCCTCTGCAGTGTTCCTCCTTTCTTATGTTCTTATGTTCTTATGTTCTTATGGATGTTGTGCATTCAAATTAGTATTATAATCAAAACCAAGCACTAAACCCACTAGGGTCATACAGCGCTGCATTATTATTCAAAGAATGTACTAAACGTAAGGAATTTTATTCACAGGATATACACACTGAGAGGTATATTTCTGTCAGCTTATACATACACACACACACTGAGAGGTATATTTCTGTCAGCTTATACATACACACACTTTAATCCGTTTTATGGATGAAAAGATTATGTGCAACCTTAATGACCTTACTGCAGTCAATAGGCCTTAAATTCAAGTCAGCATTAATATTACCGAGGTTTAAGGCAAATTTCACAGTAAAACACATGGAGTAACCAAAACGAAAAATAAATCATCACTTGGGGGATAGAAGACATTCAGGCCCAATTCAGGGAACTGGAGCACAGATCCAATTCCCTAGATCAAGAGCCCCTCACCAGCATCAAGGAACCTCCCTTGATGACCCCAGCCAAAATAGTGAATTCACTTAACCCTTTCTTACCTTCTCTTCGTGTCGAAAGTCACAGTGCCATGGCTAGAACAATTCACAATTAACGAACAATTCACAATTAACTGCACTAAGGAGAGGAAATTTCTATTAACATTTCAGTACATCCTGGGCCATTGTCAAGTCACAAGTGAGTGAGAAAATAACAAAATAGTCCAGAAACAATAGTTTCTGCATTACAATATCCAAACCCAGTGTTATACAAGAAATGAATTTTACTAATTATCAGTTCCTTGGAAACGTAATTATCATCAATAAGAGAATTAAAGTGTAAGTTGGTATTCTCACATGGAAGCTCTAAACCCATAGAAATCATACAGCACTTGGGGAATGGGAGGTAATTAGGTTTTATCTGTTTAAGAGGATATCTCCAATGGCCTGGATCAAGTCTTTCACTAGCATTGAAAATAAAAGATTAATATATTCTTAGAGCACTAAACCTATATGGGTCATAGAGCACTTAGGGAATAGGTTATCAAGTTTAATCCAAGGAATGTAAAGGTAGCTCCAATGCCTTGGATTAAGTGCCCCAGCATCAAGACACCCCTCTTCAAGAGGCATTTACATAAAAAAAAGCACCAAACCCATATGGGTCATGCAGTCTTGATAAAGGCTTAATTACCCATAATTAATACAGTGAACCCCCGACTTACGAACAGCTCCCAACTCGAACAATTATGCAAGTGTATTTTTGTAAGTGCTTTTGTAAGTGTATTTTTGGGGGTCTGAAACGGACTAATCTAATTTACAGTATTCCTTGTGGGAGCAAATTCGTTTGGTAACGGCACCTGAACAGCCTTCTGTAACGAATTAATATCGTAAGTCAGGGGTCCACTGCATTATTAATGGGAGGCACTATTACCACAGTGCTGCTGTTTCTTTTTTTTTCTTTATGTTTTATTAGGTTCCCATATTTTTATTTAGGTAATCAATACAATTCATTTTACATTTGTTATGGGGCACTCATTTAAGCATTGTCTAGATTAACAATTGGGCAACCCAATAAGAAAAACATTGGGACTTAATCCTTTTGGGTTTGTATTATTTGTAAAATATTCTTTGTTGTTTTAATGAAATGTGTATTTTAATTGTTTATTAGTCTCAAAGTAATGCATGAAATGTGTGCCTCAGGTCTGCAAAGTTAGACTAATATTGTTCCCAGTTTGGCTAGGATACAGGAAAACCAGTTTCACTTTCTCAGGTGAGACTATATATTCCATATCATACAGTACTTTACATTCATATATCCACGTGGAAGCGCTAAACCCATAGGGGTCATACAACGCCTGAGGTGATCAGGTTTGAGCCAAGGAAGGTGAGGTGTAGCTCTAATTTTCTGGAACAAGGGATTATAATGCAACACCTTCACTACAAATGTCAGACAAAATATACAGTCAACAAAATACAACATACAGTATAAGAAAATAATGTATCTAGCACTACGGTAGCATAGTAATATAATCACTAAACTACCAACAATAATTATTAATACTTTTAATACTGTAATTAAAATTCTATGTTAGTAGAAAAAGTTGAAGTATGACATAGCCAATAAGTGATAAGAAAACACAGCAACATATCTTTATTGATGTGAAGTGTCACCTACATGAGGCTTTATCAAATACAAGGAGGTACTCAATAAAGCTTCATGTAGATGAAATGTCATACTAATAAAATTCTCTTATTTGCTGTATGAGTCCTCTGGTAAAAATTAACCAACTAATGAATTAAAACCATTTTCTGGCTTAAACTATTTTCCAACAAGCTCTACAACAGATACTAGTGGATCAAAATAGAAAATGCCAACAACGGTGAAGAAGACACACGTTACAAAAATATCTGTTGGGACAATATTTTTCTCTATGTAGAGCTTTTATCAATTTATTAAATACTGTAACTTGATGAAAATTCTAGACAGCAAAACATCATCCCAGACAAAGCTTCTACAACTTGTGTCAAGGAAAGATTTGGTACAGTTTACTAAAAAATGTGAAACAAGATGCATGCTCAGTGTTAAGATATTGTATTGGGAAAACATTTTGCCAGGTCCAAAGAAGCCAGTCATGCTAGAATGTTTCCTTGATAAATTAAAATACTGTACATGTGTCTTTTGAAATATGTCTACCTCAGCAGGTACTGATATACAGTACAATTCAGGAGAGTAAGCCACAATTCTTATACATATAGCTAAAGTGTCTTATATACATTACTCTATCATAAAAAATAAAAGTATTTATATATAACACATAATATATATTTCTCAATATACATACTGTACTAAGTATGGTGTTTATAACCAAGCATTTCCAAACCTAAATGTACACTAATTTTGAGAATACAGTGGACCCCCGCATAACGATTACCTCCGAATGTGACCAATTATGTAAGTATATTTATGTAAGTGCGTTTGTATGTGTATGTTTGGGGGTCTGAAATGGACTAATCTACTTCACAATATTTCTTATGGGAACAAATTCGGTCAGTACTGGCACCTGAACATACTTCTGGAGTGAAAAAATATCGTTAACCGGGGGTCCACTGTACACTTGATGTTTAGCAGTGGTACTGTAAGATTTTCTTCAGCTTTTTAACCTGGAGGGTTAGCCATCCAGGATAACCCAATAAAGTCAGTGCATCATCATGGACTGTCTGTCTTATTTCCATTGGGGTCCTTTTCAATCTTGTCCCACAGGATGAGACCCACACCAGGTACCTAACTTACTGCTACGGGAAAAGGAACAACAGGTGTGAGGAAACATGTCTGTTTCCACCCATGCCAGGGATTGAACCATGGACACTAATTGTGTGAGGTGAGTGTGTTGTCAACCGAACCATGGGACGTAGAACCAAGCTACAGTGGAATCTCAGTTTTCATACACCCCAGTTTTCGTAGGATTCGGGTTTTCGAGGACTTTTTCTGTCAAAATTTTGTCCCAGTTTTCATACATCACCTCGGTTTTCATGGAGTTGACAATGGTCCGTACCAAACGTGTCCACCGGCCCACCTGCGTCACTCAGCCACTCAAGCGCCGAGTGACTCAGTTGAGTGAGCATCACCCTTCATGGGAGATAGTGTTTTGGAGTCGATAATTTGCAAAAAGGCAAGGCAGTTGATGGGCTGGGGCTGACCCTGACAACCCTACACCTGTTGTGGAATCTATTGTGTCTTTGGGGAAGTCCATGGGGTTGGATGCGAGTGGCCAGGATGTGGAAGAGTTGGTGGATGACCACAGGGAAGAGCTAACCACTGAAGAGCAGCAACACCTTCAACTAGAACAGCAACAGACCGCAGCTGAGGAAATTGCCTCAGAGGAGGAGGAAGAGAGAGGGGAGAATGTGCCTTCTTCAGTGATTAAGGACATGTGTGCAAAGTGGAGTGAGTTGCAAAGTTTTGTGGAGAAATATCACCCTAACAAAGCTGTTGCAAGCTGTGTCTGCAACATATTCAATGACAATGCCTTGTCCCACTTTAGGAAAATGTTAGAGACGCCAGAAACAGACCTCTCTGGACAGATTTTTTGTGCGACAGGGGTACAGTGACTCTCAAGCTGGTCCTAGTGCCAGTAAAAGACAAAGAAGGGAAGTAACCCCAGATAGTGCCTTGATACCTGAAGTCCTTATGGAAGGGGATTCCCCTTCCAAACAATAACCTCTCTTCCCTCTCCCCTCCTCGCCGTGTTCCATACGCCAACAAGAGTCTTCAATAAAGGTAAAGGTGATGTTAAATGTTCATTTATCCATTTATATTTATTTCTCACTGTTTTCTGTATATAAAACCATAGTTACTCTCTATAAAATGTATTTTTTGTTAATATTGTTGCATGTCTGGAATGGATTAATTGGATTTACACTATTTCTTATGGGAAATATTGCTTCTGTATTCATACAATTCGATTTTTGTCAGACTTTCTGAAACGAATTAATCACAAAAACTGAGGTTCCACCGTACTTTTATTTCATCACCAAGATGTATACATGTTGAATACGATTTTCAAAATACCTTCACTGTATTTTACTCTCCTCCATGAAGCTAACTGTTGTTACATTCACAGAAGAATCCATAAAGCTCAAAGAATGTTCAGAAGGATTGGCTCTTACTGTACTAAACAATTTAAATATGTAACAAAAATAAAAAATATTTAAAGCAATGTCTGGTTTGAAGGATCCAGCCTATCAGACAATAATTATTGCTTAGTGTCTTATTTACATATGCATCACTCACCAGTTGGGAAGGAGACTTTCTTTGGATTATTCACCCTAGAGGAATAATAAGTCTAGGATAATCCAAGGCTATTTTTTACTTCACTGGGGTGCTGTATAACCCTTATGAGGTCATACAGCATTTTGGAGAATGAGACGATCAGATTTGATCCATGGAAAAGGAATGCATCTCCAAGAGCCTTTCACTGGCATTAAAGTACCTCCCATGAAGCCAAGCAATATTGCATTTTTCCAATGCAGTCTTTAGGTCCTCTTTCCTAGTAGTATGTGACTGACACCATGCAACTAACTCCTAAAGTAGGTACTGCTAGATAGACAGGGGCAGATGTCAGGAGATGACCACAGAAGTGGGCTCTTTTGGTTATAAATTAAACACTTGACCATCAATCTTGCCTCACTAAGACTGAATCAGGTTCTTTCGGGTGGGAGTCAAACACTCAACCGAGAAAAACAATGCTAAATTGCCGCTCCTGATGGTTCCATGTCTAATGGCTGGAAATCATTATATACTGTACTTGAGAGGCTTTGCATCTGCTAAATTAAACTATATAGATATAATTTTATTTCAATTGATTTTACTTGCTAGTGTTAAAAAATCAATTGTGCGTAACAATTTTGTTTCTTAAATGTATTATTCTTAACAGTAAGGCTATTACCAGTAAATAAACCTATTGTGAAAAATAATAATTTGAAAAGGAAACTTAACATGAATCACACTAACAAAATTTTGTAAATATTACCAACTTCAGCTTGAGATAAATTTGAATGAAAAATCTTTTCCTTGTTTAATAAAATAAATAAATATATTCATAATAAAAGTGTATCTAGACATGCCAAAGCTTACCCTCAGCACCTCAAAAGTCTGGTAACATAAGCCAGTGTGATAGACACTAGTGCTACAGAACATGTAGCTACTGGGGTTCCACCTGAATTTATGATTTTCTTATTGAGGTCTTTAACATGCTTGTAGATATTTTCTGGTCTTTGTACTGGACGCTCACAGTCATTCTCATAAGGACCAATGCATGATGCATAGGCCATCACATGAGCCACATAGTTCTGTTCATGAACTCGATGGAAGAGGTGAGCCATTGGACCTGCGAGATAAATCATTTTCATAAAACTATTTTGGAAATAATCATGCTTGAAATGCAATGTTATCACTGAACAAAATTAACAGCTTTTTTTACGCTAATACAAATGACAACCCTGCCACCAGCTGAATTATTTTATTATTATATTCACTGGGCCTGGTCATACAGCACCCAGGAAAGGTCAAGTACAATAATAAGGTTGGATGAGTGAACATTTTTGCCAAATGAGCTCAGGACAAAAATGCTTAGTTTGAGACTTAGCAGAGATCAATAGCAATATAAATTAGTTAACACTGACTGGACAAATATCCTCTACAGGAAGGATGCCTCAAGGAAGGTGTGTCTTCATACTTAGTGATGGGTATGTGATCCAAAGAATTGTAGTTACTATCAACTTACTTCACTCAAACTTACTTACCTCTCATTCCCCAGGTATTGTATGATCTTAATGGCTTCAGCACATTCACATGAATTTATTAATAATAATCAACAGCAAGAAACCTTTGCTTATGCAGTACAAAACAGTACAGAATCAGTTTAATAACTAAGCCACAAATTGAAAATGAGCAACTGTTTTGGTCAGCCATGGACCATTATTAAGTAGCAAGCCATCTAGTTTTCATTTCAATTTGTAGGTTAGGTGTGAATCATTCTAGCTACAGTTATTTTGTTAATTCTCTTTTTTTCAAAACTAGATTATATTGCATTATAGGAGGCAACACATCACAAAGCAGCAGCACAATGTACAATACCACACAAAATCCAACATTCCAGCAAATCAAAGAGTAGAGAAATAAATGAAGAAGTAATAAATCTGCATTATACCTATGGCATATACTCCAACATCTTCCCCTCCATGAGTCTCTGAGCCTGGGGAAGTAGGGACAGCAGCCAGTGCCTCAAAATCTGCCTCAGTTGTATCAACCCCTGATAAGTTTCGTCGCATTACCTTGGAATAAACAATAAATTACATTAATATATTTTTGTTAATGTCGCCTTGTAACAAAAATTAAATAAAAATTTTAAAAGTATGTACCTGGGTAATAAATATAACATTAAGTTTATAAATAAACACAAAATATGCAAAAGCCTTTACATACAACAACATACAAAACATTCGCATTCAATATATGTATATCCAAAAGATATTCATATATTGAATGCGAATGTTTCGTACGTTGCTGTATTACTTTCAGTATATATATATATATATTTTTTTTTCAACATGTCGGCCGTCTCCCACCGAGGCAGGGTGACCCAAAAAGAAAATACTTTCATCATCATTCAACACTTTCACCTCACTCACACATAATCACTGTTTCTGCAGAGGTGCCCAGAATACAACAGTTTAGAAGTATATACGTATAAAAATACACAATATATCCCTCCAAACTGCCAATATCTCAAACCCCTCCTTTAGAGAAAAATTTCAGTGTATATATGCTGAAAAAATAAACCATGGAACTGGCAGGGATTGAACCCATGGCCAGTTGAGTCCTAAAACTCGCTTGTCACGGGTTCAATCCCCACCTGTTCTGTGGTTTGTTTACAAACGTGTTATTACAATTTCGTGATGTATGATGAAAGTTTGCTTAAATCCTCTTTTTTTTTTTTTTTTTTTTTTTTTTTAGGAATTAAAGTATTCTTGTTTGGTGATGAAAAGGTTGAATGCAGCAATAATTACCCTAGGGTAGTCGGTATTTTTAAAACCATTAACCTACTAGACCATTACTCCCAGAACCCACAATCATTTGAGGCAAAATATTGTATGAAAAACAGATACAGTATAGATTCTGAAAAAATATAGTTACTAAATATATAAAGAAACTTGTGACTCCAGATTTGTTATGCTGTCCTGCAGTACCATGAATAAGTTACTGTGTTTTTTCCAGTCTGGCCTATGGCTTGGGGAACTTTGTTTACCTCAAGTACAACATACTGTAATCCTTCAGGGTGTTAAACACACAAGTGCAGAGAACTTCACTGAGACATTTTGCCTGTATCTTCAGCCAGTCAATTAACTAAAGAAGCTTGGCGATGAAAAAACCTCTCAATAAAGTTCCTCTGCAAATGTATCATTACCAAGGACCCCAATGGAAATCAAGTAACTTACTATGACTTTTTTTGGGGGGTTATTTTAGGTAATTTACACGTTACTAGGTATGATAACTACTTAAGTGTACCTGTACCTAAATAAACTTACTTACCACTTATCAGTTTTGCATCACATTTCTCTACTATAATCCTACCACTGGTATCTCAGCTACCAGGGCAGACATACTCACTTTTTCTCCATTCCAGGTGTAGTTGAAGCCATGACCATTAGTAAACATGAGGGTTGTGAAGGGCATGTGGTCTTCGACGTCATCATTCATCACAACACCTTATCAAGTATATACACATCATTAATAATGGTTTAATGTATCTCAATACAAATATACATGTGTTTTTATGTGTGAATGTGTGGATACTTGTAGGTAGTAGGTTGGTAGAGAGCAACCGCCCAGGGAGGCACTACCGTCCTGCCAAGAGGTGTAAAACGGAATCCTGTAATTGTTTTACATGATGGTAGGATTGCTGGTGTCTTTTTTCTGTCTCTTAAACATGCAAGATTTCAGGTACGTCTTGCTACTTCTACTTACACTTAGGTCACACTACACATACAAATACAAGCATATATGTACACACCCCTCTGGGTTTTCTTCTATTTTCTTGCTAGTTCTTGTTCTTGTTTATTTCCATTATCTCCATGGGGAAGTGGAACAGAATTCTTCCTCCGTAAGCCATGCATGTTGTAAGAGGCAACTAAAATGCCGGGAGCAAGGGCCTAGTAACCCCTTCTGTATAAATTACTAAATTTAAAAAGAAAAACTTTCTTTTTTCTTTTTGGGCCACCCTGCCTTGGTGGGATATGGTCGGTTTGTTGAAAAAAAAAAAAGTGTGTATACTTTGTCAGGTAAAAAGTGTGTATACTTTGTCAGGTAAAAAGACAAGTGCAACTAATGAGACATTTTATTGTAGCAATGTTTCGCTCTCCAGGAACATTAGCTGCACTTGTGTCTTTTACCTAACCTTTTTTTTTTTAACATGTCAGCTGTTTCCCACTAAGGCAGGGTGACTCAGAAAGAAAGAAAAAACTTTCATCAGCATTCAACGCTTTCACCATCATTCATACATAATCACTGTCTTTGCAGAGGCGCTCAGATACAACCGTTTAGATGTCTCTCCAAACAGCCCATATCCCAAACCTTTAAAGTGCTTGTTTCCCCACTTCCAGACTTAAGTCTAGCTAACATATTGTCAGTAATTTTACCAGTATTACTATGGTACTTATTTTATAAACATGCAATGAATACAATATCTTAGTTAAATACCTAGGATAATGTGAATCATTAACCCTTAAACCGTCCAAACTTTGATCTACATTCACATGCGTGGCACTCCAAATGTAGATCTACGTTTTTTTACATGCACGTGAACGTAGATCTACGTTTGGACAGTTTAAGGGTTCAATAACACTAATATGATATCTAATGTTAAACTGGTAAATGTTCATGTTCCAGCCTCATTCACAAAATTTTCATTGGATTTTTAAAGAAATTTACTCTCTGATGAATACCCAACTATTTTCTGTAATTACTACATATGAATCATAGAAGTTGAATTATTAATACAGTAATGTTATTAGATTGGCATTCTTAAACACTGTGTATAACCATGGGCAATCTGCAGTCATACATATTAGTTGACTTATAAGAAGCATGTGCACACATGCTTGCAGTAAATTATCATTAATAAAATAAGAAGAAACTAAACTACATAGGCTGAGCTATAGAAGAGGAAGATACACATACCTAAAATTGCACTCTGGATAAATTATATAAATTACCAATGAGAAATTAAAAAAAATAATTTTTCTTTCGATAAGCTGGCCATCTCCTACCGAGGCAGGGTGACCCAAAAAAGAAAGAAACTTTCACCATCATTCAATACTTTCACCACCATTCACACATAATCACTGTCTTTGCAGAGATGCACAGATACGACAGTTCAGATGTCACTCCAAACAGCCAATATCCCAAGCCCCTCCTTTAATGTGCAGGCACTGTACTTGCCGCCTCCAGGACTCAAGTCAGCTAACCAGTTCCCTGAATCCCTTCACAAATATTACCCTGCTCCCACTGAAATATATATTTTTCATATATTTTCCATGTTTTTCACAATGAATATGTCAATACGTATTTAATTTTATAATTTATTGTCTAATTTCAAACAAATAACAAAACCTAGCTAAGGATGAAAGTAATAACACTATCATACCAAGAATATTGTTGCCTCTCTCAGGATAACCATTCATAGTTATAACATGAGAGTGATCTGCTGTGACTACCACCAGTGTCTCCTCCAAGCTGATCATTTTCAATGCTGCTTCCAGTGCCTCCTCCATGGCCAGCAACTCCTCTAGTGCTCGTCGTGGCTGGCCCCAGTGAAGCCCATGGTCAATCCTGCCTCCCTCAACCTGTCAGTGTAGTCATTTAACATTTACTGGCACAGACTATTTTAATTAATTTATGTTTAAAGCCTACCAATTAATATTTTTGAATGGCAGAAACTATGTTATAATTTGTGAGTTATGTATGAAGCCTATCAACTGAATGCAGGTTATTAACAGGTGCAATTCTCCCAAGCAGTTATTGTCAATACTGTAATTTTTAAAACAGAGACTAAAATGTATTTTCAACATTCATGGAAAGAGACAAAATGAATAATAATGTGTTCCTTTATTGACAATGTTTTACTAACACAATGGGCTTTATCAAGTCACAGACCATCTGTCTCCACTGAGATCTAATGCACTCGTATGAGTAATGGATGTTCAAGCCCCTAGCACTCAAAACCTCCTTTACCTCATCTTTCCAATGCTTTCTGTGATGACCTCTACCCCTCCTTCCTTCCACCCTCCTAGTCATTCAATTTTGCCCAAACCAGCTAAATAGCCCCTTCTCAGCTCTCAGCTACTTTTTTCTTTTAACCCCAAACCTTTTAATCTCCAAGCTCCAAATTCTCTGCATAACATCCATCTCCCACACTGCCCTCAATCACATCTCTGCCTCCAGCCTCCTCACTGCTGCAACATTTAAACCCCATGTTTCACACTCACATCAGTTTTCTTGCCATACCCTAGTACATATTCCCTTTTTTGCCTACATGGATAAAGTTCTTTGTCTCCACAGATACCTCAACAAGCCATCAAACTTTTTTTTTCCCTCATCAAATCTATTTTTTCATCTTATCTTTCATAGATCCATCTACTGACAAGCTATTCCTGTGAAAAATTACAAAGGTTTTCTGAGTCAATGATTTTACTGTTAGCATTATTTTGCAGCATACAAAAGCAGGTATCTGTATTTATTTTGAGAACATTCATTTGTAATTACAATCTGAAATTGTTTATACTGTGGACTACTATACCACATTTGTGGGACTATCATTGTATGTAGTATATATGTATATGGTACATATCATTATACATCTATAATGCTGTGCTAACATGAATCTTTACTTTAACTGATATAAGAATTGATTTTTATCAAGATTTCTCAACGTAAGTGGATGTTAAATAACGAGCAGTTAATATAAAACGTGATATTCCTTTTAACTTACCATTAAGAAAAACCCATCCTCATCTTTCTTGAGTCTCCTGAGTGCAACCTCAACCATCTCCTTTAAGGATGGAGTCCCATCCAAGCTTGTGTTCCTATCCACCTCATATGGCACATGTATGTCTCCAAATAAACCTAAAAAAGAAGACATTAGGGTTATTTGACCTAGGAATGTTATTAATTAACCCAGGCTAACCCAACAAAGCCAGGTAGTATATATCTTATTCTCACTAGAGTCCCCATTCCCTTGGGTGCCATCCTCAACAGTCGTCTAACACCTAGGTACCCATTCACTGCTAAGTGAATAAGAGCAACAGATGTAAGGAGACTTGTCCATATGTTTCATCTTACCCAGAAACTGATCCTGTGTTCTTTCAGTTGCCAGATGAAGGCTCTACTAATAAGCTACAAGTCACCTAAAAAATACTGTAGTCTGAGAAATCACTGATAGCTGTGCAGTGCCAAACAGATTGTGACAACACAATAATAGTACCAAACAGATTGTGACAACACAATAATAGTACCAAACAGATTGTGACAACACAATAATAGTACCAAACAGATTGTGACAACACAATAATAGTACCAAACAGATTGTGACAACACAATAATAGTACCAAACAGATTGTGACAACACAATAATAGTACCAAACAGATTGTGACAACACAATAATAGTACCAAACAGATTGTGACAACACAATAATAGTACCAAACAGATTGTGACAACACAATAATAGTACCAAACAGGTTGTGACAACATAATAACATGTTTTACCCGAATTATAACCTGACTTTGTTAGTCGTGAATAAGAATGAAATGACATTTATTATTAATAAAGATGAACGTCTAAGGCAAAATTTAAAACAAATGCATATTAACTTTAATCTGGTTTACTAAAATCAGCTCCAATTAGCTGGATCAAGAGCCCTTCACCAGCATCAAGGCACCCTCTCCCCTTGAAGGGCATCTCATGAGAAATTACACATGTGCAACTGTTTTTTTTTTTTTTGAAGACTTTGCCAACCAGAGGCTTTTTAAATTCGGTACTGTATACCACTACTGTAATAGTAGTTACCCATGATGTATTCAGCATTCTGAGTGTTGACTGAGCGTAGTTCTCTAGTGGTGGTGATGTATGTGTAGTTCTTGCCCTGGGCAGCCTTGGAGTTCTTCCACTCCTGCACCAGGTTCCTACCATCAGTACGTACACATACTTCTTCAGCTCCTGATTCCAGTGGTTCCCCCATCTCCTGTCGACCTCCACCCATAATAACCTGCAAACAATAAAGTGAAGATAAGCTTCTCTTGGGAAATCTATAAACTATTTTACAAACAATAGTAATAATTTGTAAAATAGTTCTGAGGGGACACAAATACAAGTAAACATACATATAGGTAATACTGTACCTCCTGTAGAATTAAGCTAGAAATAATAGTCCATTTTTCTTCCTTATGATACGTCTAAATGTGCATCTAACATTTCTGTATTAAAATACAAGTGTTTACCAGGCGTGGGTCCACTGTTTATTTTGTTTTGTTATAGTTTTTCTAAGATTTCCACAAATTATTTCAACTACACATCTGAGAAGCAAGAAAATTTGGTAGCGTTAAAAATAAATTGGACTGGTACATGAGCAGGAGTGGTGGGTGCTAGTAATACCTGCCTAGTATGAACCAGTTTACCTGGAGAGGGTTTCGGGGGTCAACGCCCCCGTGGCTCGGTCTGAGACCAGGCCTCATGGTGGATCAGGGTCTGATCAACCAGGCTGTGTCTTAAGGAAACGCGCTCAATGTTTCCACCCTACTTCATTCCATTCTTATGTTCTTATATTTCCCTATACAAATATATACATTCTCCTTAAATACACTGGATGTGGGAAGTACAGTGGCTGCACTTTGCAGTTCGGAGAGCCATCTGAACTGTGCTGTTGTGGGTTAAATGAATGATCTTTTAGTTTAATATATTTATTATGCACTCCATACCCATCCTGTGGGCAGTAAATGAATGAAGGTTTACCTGGGGAGAGGTTCGGTGATTTTTTTTTTTTTTTTTTTTGGGGGGGGGGGGGGGATACTTCCTGAGCGGGAACCAGTGGGTGTGTTAAAAAAAATTCACGCCTCATAGGCCAGACTGATATAATCACTATGTATACAAATCATGAATGAAAATTTAATCACTTACCTTCATGTTGATGGCTGGTTCATCTTCAACCAGCTGGCGAGCAATGTCCTTGCATCTGAGAGCATCTGGCCCAGCTTTCATGATGGCTGTGTCACACTGCCACTTACGGTTGGAAGTCTTAGCATACAGACCAGCAGGTGTTGCATGTGTTACCTGAGCTGTTGTCACCACACCTACCAAAGACATTAGTTGGGTCGATAATTATGCACCATGCCCATTCTGTGGGTAGTACACAGCCAAAAAATTAAAAGGCACATATTGGCTCCAAGAACTGGCTCCAATATTCTGTTAACCCAGAAAGTTATTATATTTACAAGCTGTTTACAAAGTAATAGATTCTGTGACAAAATCAGCCACAAGTACTGTATTGTAATGTGCTTTATTGCACTTACTGCACGGCTTATAGTACTTTTTTTCAACAAATTATACAAACAGGCATATTGGACCTTATTGCAGAGATCAGAGAATTATCAAGGTAAGATTTCGTTCGAATTTTTAACCTCGGAGGGTTAGCCATCCAGGATAACCCAAGAAAGTTAGTGCTTCATCGAGGACTGTCTGTCTTATTTCCATTAGATGCGACCTACACCAGTCAACTAACACCCAGGTACCTACTTGCTAGGTGAACAGGACAACAGGTGTAAGGAAACGCGTAGAATGTGTTTCACCCTTGCCGGGAATGGAACCCCTGACCCTCAGCGTGTGAAGCGAGTTTTGCCAACCAGGCTACGGGGCCCCGTGTTCTTGTTACTAAGGAAGAAATATGACTAATTCCCAAGAAACGATCATAAAATATTATTATGCAAAGAAAGAACTGCATGACAATGTATTAAGTACTGTAAATGTTCCATTCCTGGCCTACAAGAGTACAACACGGGTATAGAATGAATCCAGGCTTAAAATTATCTAGAACTTGCCTTATATACAAATAGATGGGAAGAACCAATACTGGTGCAATTTAAGGATCATGTTGGGCAGTGAGGTCCAGGATGTGATGATAATCGATTTGTCAGGAGTAATAGTGTACGATAACTGGGACATCCGGAAGCCAGGTTGACGGCATGCTTATGTAGATAATACCCCTTCAAGGTGGTGCATATCTTCATAGTGGCAAAATGCCCTTGATCCAAGGAATTGCAGCTGTTTTTCCCTTCCTCAGATCAAACCGGATTATTTCCATTTCCTTGGCGGTCAACGACCCCTCACCAGTTTAGTACCACGTGAACAGAAAATAAAATACAGGAAGAGATGGGTAGTGAAGCTACATTCACGATGTTGTATATACTCACTAAAAGAGGACTGTAATGAGGAGACACAGGAAACAAGATGTCATCACACATATATGGTTAAACAAATAATATCAGTAGCATTGAAGGTGAGGTGGGAATGTTGCAGTTCAGGCGTCTGTCATGTATGTGCACTTCTGGCATGACAGCTACTGATTGGATGATGAATGTGTCCTTTTTTGGGTCATCCTGCATGAAGGAGTATGACAGGAAAACCATCCTGCATGAAGAATGACACGAAAACCATCCTGCATAAAGGAGCGACAAAAATCATCCTACATGAAGCAGTATGACGTAAATGAGTATGACAGGGAAAACCATCCTACATGATGGATGTGTTTAATAAAACTTATTTAGCTCTTGCCCTGAACTCAGACTGTCTTGGAGATCAGGGTAGCAGCACAGTCTGGGTACCAAACTTTGCTGATCCCTGGTTCGGATTTGGGCTTGCAGACTCACCTGTGGCCTTGTTGGCATCTTGTGCCCACTTCAAGATAGACTCCACTCTGTTCTCCGGTTTTAGCGAGGCCTCACAGTCATCCAGTTTGACCTTACCGTTGACCCCCAGCGTGTAGTAGTTAGCTTTGACCCCGGTTAAGAAAGCTGTGGCAGTGGCAGCACTATCTGCCACCTGCTTGTCCAAGTTGTAGGTCTGGCAAATGTTTAAATTCAATTATAAAATAGGGTAGCGAGTCAACGGGGCAGCATTTCATGTTATTGGTGATATACAATCATATTATTGGTGATATACAATACCAACAGAAATTTAGATACTATATGCTTAAATGCGATATCCTGTTAATGCATCCTCTGATTGGCTTCAAATCTTCAAAGCTAATATTTAACTATAACAAACTTATATTACACTCTATACTATTCGTTTTGCGACCACTGAGGTAAAAGGGGCTGGTCTTATGGGATATGAGATACCTTTTTTGGTTCATGCGGAGACCAAAATACGTACATCTAATTACTTAATTCTTTAATTCTGCCCGAAATGTCCCGGTATGTTAGTGGCTTTCTTTGTACCTATCAACACGCTTTATATGCTTTGACACATTGTAACCTACGCAAAGAAATAAAATTGTTTATTGTTTTTATTGTTTAATAATCTGGCATGGATTAATATGATCTTGCCCTCAAACGAAGTTCCTTGATGTTAGTGAAGGGTTCTTGATCTAAAGAATCGGACCTGTGTTCCTCTTCATTTGGTTCGAACCTGAAAGCCTCCTATTCCCCCCAAGCGCTTCATAACCCTCATGACTGATAATAATTAACATGGTGTTACCTTGATGAGGCCAACATTGGGGAATCTCTCCCAGGCCAGATAACCTTCCTCCCCAGACACTCCCTTCTTCTGCCCTTTAAGGATCCTGCCAGCAGTGCCTACAGTGATCCCCATACCTGCAGGAGAAGATTATATTTGAATTATTAACCAGGAGAGTTAGAAACCCAGGTTACATAAGTGGGAATGGTTGTGTTTAAGACCTGTCTTCAACACTCGTATTGAATGACCCATTTGTGAGATATAAATCTTCTTGTCATTTTATTTCTCACAGGTCTGATAATTTACGTTAAATCTACAAAAACATACATTTTTTTATTTTATATCAAACGCATCCATGTACCTTTAATGTATCTTTTAAACTTCGTGTACCATGTTACAGAATTAAATGTGTGTATGTATAAGATAGTGTGGCAGGACAAGAATATTTAAACAACCTCAGTGAGAAATTTCATTTTTTTTTTCCTCTATGCTAATTTATATAACCTACTACTACGAGGCTACGAGTCCCCCCGGTATCTTAAAACTGCATGTTGTAAATAAGACTTAACTCACCATCACCGAGGAAGAGATCAGACTTGACTCACCATCACCGAGGAAGAGATCAAACTTGACTCACCATCACCAAGGAAGAGATCAAACTTGACTCACCATCACCGAGGAAGAGATCAAACTTGACTCACCATCACCGAGGAAGAGATCAGACTTGACTCACCATCACCGAGGAAGAGATCAAACTTGACTCACCATCACCGAGGAAGAGGATGACGTTCTTGGCCACGTTAGTGAGTTTAGGTTTGTGTAGCGCCTCCTCCAGCTCCTTCCTGGCCAGCTGCAGCCAGTATGACGACTCTGAGGGTACAGCAAATACAGTTAAGTAGTATAATCTAGCAGACGGGAGGATCAAGCCTCACTACAGATTAACCACGATGCACACACAAAACTATGTTAACAATTAGTCTTTAGCACCTGCATCAAAAAACATTTACATATACGTCTTTGTAAACTGGATATATGAGTTCTATATACTTTTGCTAGCTAATGTTTTAGCTAAATTGGTTCAATAGTGGAATAAATATTCAAACTCATTCATGAAAAGATAAGAATTATATACTAATTCCTAACTCGTGAAGTAGCACCACACCTAACACCTATGTTGCAGCAACACACCAAACACTTATGTTGCAGCAACACAAGTAACACCTATGTTGTAGCAACACACCAAACACTTATGTTGCAGCAACACAAGTAACACCTATGTTGCAGCAACACACCAAACACTTATGTTGCAGCAACACAAGTAACACCTATGTTGTAGCAACACCACGAGAGCAATTCTGGATGCGAGTCCCACTCTCCTGACACCCTGCACGACTTCTATTATTTTACGACCTCCGCTACCCCTGTATAACCTCTTCTATCCCGGTAATGGCCTATTTTACTTATGTACAATCTCTTCCACTCTGCATGGCATCTGTACCCAACTATCACCATAACCTTACCCTGTGGGACACGCCCTTCCTGAACCACGCGCCAGAGGTTAATAAAGAGCCAAGTGCTCTATCACATACACTAAATGTTCTGAGTGACTCTGAGTCAAGGACACAGTTATTTAAGCACTGACACCTTTAAAAGGCTCTTAATGACCCTAACAACTGACCTGTTTCCATAAGTACAGGAGAGGGATAGACCACCTCGACGGTGTTGGAGGCGACCGACACCACCAGCAGGAGAACTCCACAGTACCATCCTGAAGGCCACATCCTCTCTCAGGGAAAACCTGCCGAAGTAAACAACACTTACTGACACTACACACTACAGCCACTCATATAAGGCGTTTAAAAAGAGTGCAGTAACTAATATATGTCACTAAAATAAGACATAAACTGGTGTATGTCGCGTGAAGAGAACATTATATATCAGATCCATGTGAGGCACATTTTGGTAACTAACATCATTAGGAACACAAATATTTTACCCAATTAGAGAGGATAAAGTAGAACAAGATGATCAAGAGGGTGTGTAAATCCAGGTGTAAGGGAGGAGTAAGGGGAGGTTTTTTGGATTTGACGTGCTGTTGGAGTGTGAGCAGTGTAATATTTATGGTGGTTATGATGGGATTCAAGGGGACTAGCTAGTCCTAGAGGTAAGAAGTACCGTGAATGCACTTTGAGAGAGGAATGGGGAAGTTGCAATTAGGAGGTTAGTTTAATATGTTTATTATGCACCCCATATCCATCCTGTGGGTGGTAGTCAAAGGATTACAAAGGTACATAATGGGTCCAGGGACTGGACCCCAAAGTTATGATAACCGAACTAGTTACAAAGGTAATGAACATGACTACATTGACCAGGTGATGTGTAAATCGTATGGGTTCAGCGCTTACCCTTAAGCAATATAACAATAATAATAATAATAATAATAATAATAATAATAATAAAAGTTTATACATATACAGTTAATCATAATTTATTATAATCAATATATTGCTGAAGCTAAGCTTTGAAATAAAACAGAGAGAGAGAGAGAGAGAGAGAGAGAGAGAGAGACGCACGCTTCTTAAAACATTTTACATAGGAAAGAATCAAGACAATAGGAAAATGGTAAGCAGCGCACAACTTTCACCTGACCTAGATACAAATTCTGTGATATGATTTAACTCTACCCCTGACCTTGACATTTAAATCTGTGCAAGGTACAACTTTTAAAGCGTTTTCCTGACTACCCAAACCAGCCTACCCTAACTTGATTCCTCCTCTTCCTCTAATTTGATTTAACTGTGGAAAACGACACTTGCGTCCAGTTCAGGGCACAAACATTTCGCAAGCCACTGACTGGCGAAACGTTTCCAGAATAAAGATAACCCATATGTTGAACATGTGTTTCAATCCCTAAACTAACCTAATTTGCCCTGTAACCTAATTTACTCTGTTCTAACTCGACATGACCCAACCTAAACTAACTTACTGTAACCTGATTTGTCCTGCTCTGACTTGGTAAAGAGTGGATGAATACAATCTTTCCGAGTAGCTAACGAGATGTGCCCTTGCGTCCACACTCCATGACCATCGCCCTGCGAGGCAGCAGTGTCGCTTGTCTTCGCCCTCCCCAAAAGAATTAAAAACTTGAAACACCAGCCTTCTCAAAACCTCAGCTTGGCGCTTTCGCCCCTGCTCATATTTCCAATACCTCAATGTTTATATATATTTTTTTTTTAAATTCTCAGATTTTCTTGCATCTTTTCGAAATTTCATAGCCCATCGTGAGGACTAGTTTGAGAACCCCTGACTTAGAAGCAGTGTTGATGGCTGCCTCACATCCACTCACCCAAAACAGCGGCAGTTTCCACATTTATTATCAGTAATAGGACTGAGACTCTACAACGGGGCCATCACCTAATTCATGTCGTCTGTATACAACTCTCTTGGTAATCTATACTTTACCTTTAATTGTACGACTGTACTATTAAATATCTTCGTTGGTATCTCCATGCATGGGCCCATTGTTTACACCCCAGCCTTACTCTGTCTGGGTATGTACACTCAGGCTTGACAAATTTCTTGACGAGCAAAACACCGCCTAAACATAAAATATTCAGAGCACTGTGACGAAAGTGGTTTTGAAAACTGACAAGTTGAAGAGCGAGACACTTGTGCAACACTTGGGAATCTTTATAGAGGAAACGTTTCGCCAGCCAGTGGCTTCTTCAGTCCAGTAGAGAATAACAGAGGAATAACAAACTGAAGAAACCAATGGCTGGCGAAACGTTTCCTCAATAAAGACACCCCGAAACCCTCTCCAGGTAAACCCAAACGTTGCACAAGTGCTTCATTCATTCAGAACGTTACACAAGTAACCCGCACTTAAGAGAAGATTATTTGTGTATTGTTCCAGCCACTGTATTGCAACATTTTTATTCTTTATTCAGAACGCTGCATGTGTCCACCAACCTTAAATGATAAATTAAACACATGTGCAACTCTTGGGTATCTTTATTTATACCCAAGAGTTGCACATGTGTCTAATTTATCAACATGTCGGTTCTCTGAACCATTCATCTACAAACCAACCTTAAATGAATGTCGGCATTTTCATACCATCTTACTCTCGACCTTTACTGTAGTGTTCACAAGGCCAGGTCAGCCACACCTCTCATACGCTCGTCACCGCTTATGCATTCAAAACGAGTCCCGTGTACTCTCTATAGATTTAAAATAGCTTGGTTTACAAGTGAAATATTGTCTTAGTGAAGCGTCCATTCTACCTGCGTGTCCTTGTTTTGAATAACAAATCATGCACACACCTATCGAGTGTGGACAAGGACAATTGAAGCTACCAGTGGGAGCAGTGATCACTGCTCTAGCGAGCGGTGCTGCATGGTAAACGCAGAGAGAGGGAAAGAGTGCAAGAAATGTTTGGCAGAGGAAGGAGCATAGGAGACTCGAGGTGAGTATGTATTTGGGATGTGACCTCTACAAGCGTGAAGGAGATCTGAGAGACTGGAATTCTAACTAGAAACACGAGGATCAAAGTTCCTACCGTGTATTTTGCAAGTTAGGAAAGTTAAGAGCAATTAGCTCATTTCACATCTCTCTCTCTCTCTCTCTCTCTCTCTCTCTCTCTCTCTCTCTCTCTCTCTCTCTCTCTCTCTCTCTCTTTCTCTTTCTCTTTCTCTCTCTCTCTCTCTCTCTCTCTCTCTCTCTCTCTCTCTCTCTCTCTCTCTCTCTCTCTCTCTCTCTCTCTCTCTCTCTCTCTCTCTCTCTCTCTATCACCAAATTTAAAAAAAATGAACTTATTCTCAGGAATATTTCCGAGTTAGCACAAGGGAAATATATGGTAGAGATATGGTGAGATATGGTGGAGATATGTTGCAGTTTTTGAACTGCAGTGTAGGCACGCCTCTGGCAAGACAGTGATGGTATGAGTGATGATGAAAGTGTTTCTTCTTTTTCGGGTCACCCTACCTCGGTGGGAAACGGCCGTTGTGTTAATAATAAAAAAAAACTGTCTACTTTTATTTAGATTAAGCACTATCGTGTATTATTTAGGTGTGTGAATCAAATATAGATGTTACGCTGAAGGAACACAACAGTGTCACTATCACAGCAGCAAGAAAAAGTCTAGGTGACTTCCACCATATCAGTGTAAGAATAACTTGTGCAAGTTCACGACTGTACCGGCTCAGCCACAGTGATCAAAATACTTAACGTTCAGACGCAACTGCTCCTCAATCCTCCTTTATATAAGAGTTGCCAACACACGAGCTTGGTGGATGGCAAGGCCGGTCCACGAAGGGGGCTTGATTAAGCCAGTAAATCTATGACAGTTAACTGACATGATAAGTCTCCTGCAGAGGTGAAACCTTGTCTGTAAATAAGGATTCACTCTGCACATACTGTTTTTGATCACAAAGACCCCGTGGATACACCATCATATCAACTATTTATCGTTCTTGTTCATTAAATGAGTTTCACAGGTTTGAGCAATATACAGGGCTGCTCTGGTAGTTATGGAAAACGTTATGGCTAGCTTCGTACAGTTGTTTAACTGCATATGCAATGCCCCAGGTTCCATTTCCAGTAATTCTTAAATAGCTTGTAAGGAAAATGATATACTGCATAACGAGAACCTTAAAAAGAGAGAGAGGTACAAAACGAATAATGATAGTTGTTGATGTAATCACACTCGAGGCTTGAATACTACTGTATACTAACAACCCCTTTTAAGGCAGAAGTTATAAACCTGTACCATTTTGATCACACAGTTAAATTGGTGTGAATGTTTAAAGTCAATTATTAAAATGCACTCCCGGGAACGCAGCCTAGAAAGATATATCATAATTTACACTTGGAAGATACTGGAACGACTAGTTACAAGTCTACACACTGAAACTATTCCTTACCAGAGTGGGAGGCACGGTATATGGTATAAAATATCACCAACGGATAGCCAGTGTCCCGTAGTTCGATCGCTAGAGCACTCGGCTCACATACTGAGGTCCGGGGGTCGAATCTCCAATAGGCTGGATAACATTAGGACATGTTTCCATAAGGCACCTGCTGTCTATGTTCATCCATCAGTATAAAATAGGTACCTGGGTGTTAATCGACTGGTGTGGGTCGCATCCTGGGACCAAATCGACCTAATTTGCCCGAAATGCTCTGCATAACAAGCGGCTTTACATATAGTAGTATGGCACTGATGTCAGCTAGGACTTTATACCTTGTACATGTACTTGTAGAAATAGATATTATTATTATTATTATTATTATTATTATTATTATTATTATTATTATTATTATTATAAGTACACTACAAGATGAGTAATTAAGCAAGAAAAGGGTCTATAACTTCCCAACACCCACTCTTCCTGTGTATGAAAAATTACCAAGACCCCTAAGTTGAAGCTTCCTTGACAAGGTCACAACAGAGGTAGTGACTTTGAGATGGGAAAGGATAAGGTCGTAGAGTGTGAGTGGTACTATGTCTTCCCTCATGCCCTCCTTATTCTTCCTTCACGCCCTCCCCTCTTGTTGTACTTGTCCCCTTCTACTTCTTCCCTTCTTCGTCCCTGCCACTCCTTCCCTTCTTCGTCCCTGCCACTCCTTCCCTTCTTCGTCCCTGCCACTCCTTCCCTTCTTCGTCCCTCCCATTTCTTCCCTCCCCAGAAGCAAGTCAGTAAGTGCTACCAGTTAGGAGCTAAAGCTATAAGAATCTCTACTGTACGTTGTGGATGTCTATTGGGCTTATCTTGAGGTGGATTACATTACAGTAGTTTG